TGAAAATCCACTTCCCAAAAGCAAGCATGTGTACAGCTCAGTGTGGCCTACCACACTGCCCCTGCAAGCAGAAGGCTCTTAATAAACATTAACATTTTTATTCTGTGCAAGGGCACTGTACTAGTCTGGGGAAACTAGGGCAAGAGAAAGATAGTCCCTGCCCTCAAGAAGCATTCATGCTACATTTACAGATAAACTAAAACTAGGTAATTTGAAAAGAGAGAGCTCCCTAACAAGGGAGGAGATCTGGTAGTACCAGAGCTGAACTTTAAGGCAAGATAAAGAGGCAAAGAAAAGAAGGCAGAATATTCCTGGCATGTGGCCCCCAGTGATGGGAGCTCAAATGCTGACTTCCAGTTCGGCTGGAATGTGGATCATGTAAAGGGGGCTGATATGAAATAAGATTTTAAAAGCAAGTTGGAACCAAATTATGGAGAGCTTTAAAGGCCAAGCTGAATAGCTTGTATTTTATCCCAGAGGTAACAAAGGATAAACCTTGTTTTGTCTTCCTGTTTCTCCTAAGATTCTTTCTCCTTAAGACATCAACATAATCAAAAAACTCATTTACATTATGACTGTCCCTGCTTTCAAGGCAGCCACACAGAGACACACACAGACTTTGGGGACGTGGGCTTTCTCCTCGACACTCCACCAAAAGATGTCACAAGGCAGTAGTATAACAGGGTTACCTTCCCAAATTCCATTGATTGTCATCCCTCCTCTACCTTCAATCTTTTTTCAAGTAGAAAAACCTACAATCAGAATGCTTGGGGAATAAGAGTAATTTAATTTTCTTAATTTTGTGGTTACCTTAGGGTTAACTATAAACACCTAATTTGCCTCATCTTAACTTAAATGCCTAAGTCCATTTTTATGCCTTAGTAGCATTTAGTAAACTAAGTAAACACTTAGTAACAACTTATTAAAACAAAGTAACTAGTTACTGTTAACACTTTGCCTTAGTAACACTAAGCAGAGTCTAGTGACTATTACTCTCTACTAATAAGGAACTGTATGGCCTCAGGATATTCACTCCGAACATTCAATGCAGCTGTACAAGAGAGAGAAGAGTTTGTTTTCTTCCTTCCTTCTTTCTTTTTTAATCAAATTAACCAAAGGTTTATCTATTATATTTTTTTCTTCATAAAACCAGCTCTTAGTTTTACTTATTAGTTCAACGGTTTTCTTAATTTCAATTTTATTAATCTCTCCTTTGGTTTTCAGAATTTCTAATTTGGTATTTGAATGGGGATTTTTAATTTGTTCTTTTTCTAGCTTTTTTAGTTGCCTGCCCAATTCATTGAGCTCTTCTTTTTCTATTTTATTCGTATAAGCATTTAGAGATATAAAACTTCCCCTAAGGACCGCTTTCGCTGCAAACCATAAGTTTTGGTATGTTGTCTCATTATTTGTCATCCTCTTGGATGAAGTTATTGTTTCTATGACTTGTTTGACCCACTCATTCTTCAGGATTAGATTATTTAGTTTCCAATTGATTTTTAGTCTATCTTTCCAAGGCCCTTTATTACATGTCATTTTTATTGCATCATGGCCTGAGAAGGATGCATTTAATATTTCCACCTTTCTGCACTGGATTGTGAGGTTTTTATGCCCTAGTACGTGGTCAGTTTTTGTGTAGGTGCCCTGTACCTCCAAGAAAAAGGTATATTTTTTTTCTATCCCCATTCGATTTTCTCTAGAGGACAACCATATCTAACTTTTCTAAAATTCCATATATCTCCTTAACTTTTTCTTGTTTACTTTGTGGCTGGATTTCTCTAGTAAAGAAGGGTTTGGGATCATCTAGTCCAACCCTCTGGCTTCACAGAGGGGGATACCGAGGTCCAAGAAGAACTTGCTTATGGTTTTAGAAGGCAGATCAGTAGCAAGGCATTAAACAGATTTAGAGCTGTAAGCAACTTTAAAGGACATGTCTCACAAGACTTTCATTTCACAGACAAGGAAACTGAGGCAAACGTTAACAAAGCCCCTAAGTCCACATGCATTTACGATGCCCCTGCTATGTGTCAGGCTGTGCGTCGGGTTCTGGGGATACACTACCTGGCATTCACTTCTCAATCCTGACTCTCCTCCTCCCCTTGCTTTCCCCATTGGCTTCCCGGTGTGTCTCACCTGGGAGTCATCTGTGACTCATCCTTGGATCCACCCCCCTTCTGGCTACTCCCTAAGTTCTGAGCCTCACCTCTTGCTTAACCTATAGTGATAATCTAACTCGTCTTCCTGGCGTCAGCCTCTTCTCTGTCTCATCTACTCTCTACCGGCTGCCTGAACAGTCTTGCTAAGGTACATGTCCCAAGTTCCCAGTGGCCCCCTACTGCCTCTTGGGAATAGACACACTATTCAGCCCTGCCTTTAAGAAAGGCCTTTTACAATCTATCTGGCTTTTAGCTTTCTAGTCTATTTGCGTATTACTCCCCTTGAGGAACTTTTAAGTTTTAGCCAAAGCTGTTTCCAGAACTTGACACTCCATCTCCCATCTCTGAGCATTTACATAGGCAGGTCCCCAGGCCAGGGATGCACAGCCTCTGTTTCTACCTGTCCCAGTCCATCTTTCTTCAAGGTTCAAAAGGGGGCACTACCTCCTCATTGAAGCCCTTCCTGATCCCTCTACTAGTTGGTGCTTTCTTCTCCATGTATACAAATGTTATCTACTCTTCAGTGACGCTCCCTGGCCATAGCCCTCACCTTCCTTCCAACTGAACCCGAGACTCCAGCCATCCAGTTCCCATCCCCAGCCCTCCCCACACCTCCAGCTCTCACAGCTGACCCTCTGGCCTTATCTTGTGGGGCCTGGGCTTCCTCACCACTTCTAGGACATAATGTCCCTTTTACTTTCCAGCTTCATTTTGTGTATTGTCTTCCTCCATTAGAAGAGCAGCTCCCCAGGGCAGACTCTCGTTTGTTTGTATTTGTAGCCTTGAAGCTTAGCACTTAGTACCAAGTAAGTAAGCCCTTAATTGATGCTCTATGCAGCTATTTGTAAATGTTGCTTGGTTTTAGTCTCAACAGTGAGCACAACACATAGAAGTACTGCTGTAATACAGTAGGCACTTAATAAATGCTTGTTAATAACAATGATGATAGTTAATAATTTATCTAGCACTTACTGTGTGCCACATACTATGCTAAGAAATTTATAATTATCTCACTTGATCCTCACAACAACGGGGGGGGGGGGTAGGTGCTATTATCCCCATTTTACAGATGAATAAACTGAGGCAAACAAAGGTTAAGTGACTTGCCCAATTTATCTGTGCCTGACCTACTGCTCTGCACAAAGCAGGTACCAAATATCTGTCAAGTGGAACTTAACTGGCTGTGACTCTATCATGTTACCTCACCTTGTCAGGCCTCAGTTTCCTCACTTGTAAAATGGCAATAATATAAGTTTATTACTCTTTTTTTTTGGCCTGTGTAGAGGGAGAGCTTGATGTTAAAGCTAAAGCTGCTGTGAATATTTCTGTACCTGCTGAAGTGAAGAAATAGATGATTTCAAAAAGATATGGAATGACTTCTGTGAACTGACAGAATGAAATTAGAAACAAAACAATTTATACTATAACACTGATATTACAAATATGAATTATTTCAAGGACTTTTATGAACCAAAGAAAGAAATAAGCAGAACTAATTTATACAACACTATATTTAAAAAAGCAAAACCAAACCACCCAACTTTGAGACCTGTAAGCTATGATCAATGTAATAACCACGTATGTTTCTATAAGACAGAGGGTGCTCGAACCTGCTATCCATTACCAAGATGATAGGTTTATGTTGCAAGAGACATTTTTTTGGTACCATCAATGGAGGATTTGTTTTGCATAACTATGCATATCTGTTGTAAGATTTTTTTCCTCCCTCAATGGAGAGGATGGGAGAGAGAAAAAACAGAATTCTATCTATTTTTAAAAATAGAGAAGCATGTGTGGGGTTACTATAGATGTGAAATGCTGCATGAACTTTCTGTAAATTTCACTCTATTATTAATTTTACTTAACTGTTTTTATTACAAGAGACTTCTTACAAAATGGGAATAATCTGTAAATATTTGTAATGTGAAAAACCAAAACACAAAAATAAAACTGGGGGAAAATGAGTACAGTTGTAAATATTTCTGTAAATAATTGTGTTTGTGTGTTAAAATGAATAATCTCTCCTTTTGCCTAGTTTATCTTTGTTGATACACAAGTTTGAAGAGCAGAGTGATAATATCGTGGATTAATCACGGGAGACCCCATGAAGAACCTGGGCTCTACCATTAACTAGGTGCAGGACCTCAGTTCAATGCTGGAAATCTTAATTTCCTTATCTCTTAAATGATAAAATGCTTGCATTATCGAGGTAGGAGCCCATTCGTTGTAAAAAGTGCTTGGTAGACATGAAAGTTTCATGGGAGTTATTACTATAATTTTTATATACTGTTTTCACCAATGTAAAATGAAGACGTTGGACTAGATTAAATCCACGGTCCCTTCCGGTTTTAAATTCTTCCTGGTATGTAAAATGGGGATAAAAATTGGTGCAGTGTATTGTCCTGGGAGCTAGTCGTCGGCACGAGGAAACCTGGATTCAAACACTAGTTCTAACACTTAACTGGCTAAGTGACCTCACCTTCTGAGCCTCAGTTTCCTCAGCTGTAAAATTGGGGCAGTATGGTCTACCCTTGAGAGTCTGTAGAAGTGGGTTGTCAGGTTTCTGACTCCTCCCTTTATCATCCCTGTCACCACGGACAAGTGACTTTACCCTCTCCTCTGTGCCTCAGTTCCCTCATCCGTAAATGGATGCAATAATGATTTTACTGTAGGAGCACTAATATTGCTGCCTAGACACTGAGCGTCAAACTTCAACTCGAGTCATTCCCACTGAACCCCGGGACTCAGTTTGCCGCTCTGCGAAACGGCGACTCTCCTGCTTGCACGGCCCCGGCGGGGACTCTGGCAGCGCGCCGTAAGCAGACTCGGAGTCTCTACACCAAGGTGAGCCATGCTTGGGCGCGCCGGCCCCCCCTGGCCGAGGAGCCCCGCTCCGCAAGGTGAGCCATGCTTGGGCGCGCTGGACCCCCTGGCCAAGGAGCCCCGCTACGCATTACTTACTCCGCTCCGGGTTTTGCCGCTCGCCGGCCCAGCAGCCCGTCGGGGGCGCGCTCGGTGCTGGGGCCGCGGCGGCGGCGCGCAGGGCGGGGTCGCGCCTCCTCCCGCGTCTCCTGTTTCAGCCGCTGCTACAGGGGCACCCAAGATGGAAATCCAGGGGCTGCTCGCGGCCCAGACCCCGCGCGGGAACCAACATGGCGGCGGCGGCCGCGGCGGCGCCGCTTGTCCCCGGCTGCCGCCGCCGCCCGCGGCCTCCCGAGCCTGCGGAGGGCCCGGCCCGCCGGCTTCCTCGGCTCCCGCGCGGCGCCGCCTGCTCCTCCGGGGCCCCGAAGATGGCGGGCCGCTCCTGCGGCGACAGAAGCCGCCGCTGCCGGGGGAGGCCGAGGCCACCTCCGCCGCAGCTGACCTGAGCCTCCCGCTGCTGCTGCTGGATGAAAAGCCGCCGCCGCCGCTGCCCGGCCCGGCGGGCGACGCGGCCCCCTCGGCCTCCTCCCCGCAGCCACCGCTCCTGGCGCCCGAGGCCGGCGGCGGCGGCGGCAGCGACTCCTTCCTGGTGGTGTTCAACCTGGGGCGGGGAGCCGAGGCGGAGGCCGGCGCCGGGGCCGCCAAGCCCAGGCCCGGGCAGGCGGCGGCGGCCGCGCTCAAGGAAGAGGGCGGCGGCGACGAGGCCAGGGGCGGCGCGAGCCCGGCCCCCCGCGCGCCCGCCCGGCCCCGCGAGCAGCCCCCGGCCGGCCCGGCCGCCGCCTTCTCGGGCACCATCACCATCAACAACCAGAACCTCATCGTGCGCATTGAGAACGGCTTCCTGACGCTGGCGGCGCCCCTGGGCGCGGAGCCCGGCGTGGCCAAGAGTGGCCCGCAGCCCCTAGGCCCGCCGCCCGAGGAGCCGCCGCCGCCTCCGCAGCCCCCGGGCGCCGCCGGCCCCGCGCTCTGCCCGGCCGACCTAGGCCTGGCCGACCCCGTGGCCAGCTTCTGCTGGCCGAGCCTGCGGCCAAGGGCCCCGCGCAGCAGCCGCTGCCTCCACCGCCGCCTCCGCCTCCGCCTCCACCGCCACTGCTGCCCCTGGGAGCCGAGAGCGGCGGCGTGGGCGGCGGCGGCCCGGGCGTCGTGCTGGTCTACCACTGCCCCGAGCCCGACTGCCCGCAGACCTTCCCCAAGAAGCACCAGCTGAAGCTGCACCTGCTGTCTCACAGCAGCACGCAGGGCCAGCGGCCCTTCAAGTGCCCGCTGGATGGCTGCGGCTGGTCCTTCACCACGTCCTACAAGCTCAAGCGGCACCTACAGTCGCACGACAAGCTGCGGCCCTTCAGCTGCCCCGCGGGCGGCTGCGGCAAGAGGTTCACCACGGTCTACAACCTCAAGGCGCACATGAAGGGCCACGAGCAGGAGAACACGTTCAAGTGCGAGGTGTGCGCCGAACGCTTCCCCACGCACGCCAAGCTCGCCGCGCACCAGCGCAGCCACTTCGAGCCCGAGAGGCCCTACAAGTGCGAGTTCCCCGGTAATGACCCCGGCCCGGCCCCGGGGAGGGTGGGGAGGGCGGTCAGCGCCGGCCCCCCGGGGAGAGGGGGAGAGGTCAGCTCCGGGCCCGGGGGGGGGGTGCGGGGTCAGCGCCGGGCCCCGGGAATCGAGGGAGAGGTCAGCGCCTCCAGCCCCCGGCTCCGTATGTTGTGTGTGTCCGGTGGCGGCTGTTTGGGGCGGTAAAGAGCCGGTGGGAAGCGCCCCCGATGTCCCTTGCGAAGGGGCAGGATTTGAAGAGTCAGTTGCAGGGAAGGTGCCAGTCCCTCAGTCCCAGTCTCTCCAGTCAAGGGTCATCTAGACCAGAGAGGGGCTGGAGGCTTCCTGAGGTCACACGTGGTGGCTGAGCTCGTTCTAGAGCCGGGCTCTTGGAGTCCACTCCAACATTTTCGATGCCCAGACACCTTGGAAGGCCTCGGCTTCTGATAGAATTTTACCTGATGTTGTTCTGGCAAACCTCGGGGCACCCTTAAATTGTGAAATGCTCCAATGAGTGCAGGACAACATCTTAGGAAAGCTTACAATGAATGAGGAAGGACATGCCTGGAGATTATTGGGATCCTTCCCATTTTTGAATAAGAGTTAGCAGTTAGACCAGAGTTGTATGGAGTATTCCCACACACTGTGTAGTGGGTTTAGAAGATCAGCTTTTCTTCAAGAAGCTGAAGGATATTTGCAGAAAAATCATAGTGTGTCTTTTTGGAAGCTGCATTGATTGCAGAAATATTAGGGGAGCTCCTGCATTAGATTTACATCAACTCTGTGAAAATGTTGGAGGCCATTAAAAATTTTTTTTCTTTCAAAACTTTTTACATGAATTTATAATTTCTCTTTCTACTCCCCCCCCATTAAATGCCTACAACAACAAAAACTGAAAAGCAAATTCTCACCATCATCTGCTATATGTGAGGCCGTTTCTAAAGTACCATGACCTCAGCTTTCCCAGTTAGGTTTGCCAATGAGTGTTGGCATCTGAGGACTTAATAGGGAGTTCCACAAACCATTTTGTATGTTGAACTTGGAGATTTGCCTTCTCGGCCCCTCACCAGCATTGGACAGGTCATTTCATGTCCCTGAGCCTCTGTTTCATCTTTAAAGAGGGACTAATACCTTCTGAGTAGTGGGGAAGGGCTTTATACGTGCTGAGGTGCAGTATCCATGTGAGCCATTAGGAGAGGCATCAGGGTGCAGGGGGTGGCTATAGTGCTTGCCGTGGAGCAGGGAAGGCCTGGCTTCTGGTCCCACCTGGCCCATATCATTTGTGTGACTCAGGGCCAAGCTGAGTGTTCTAGGCTGCCCTTCATTGGCAGACAGAATTTTTTTCCTCTAGGAGTGCCCGAAATTACAGGTACAGTTCATATCTCATATATATATATATATATATAGAGAGAGAGAGAGAGAGAGAGAGAGAGAGAGAGAGACAGACAGACAGACAGACACATGGGCAAGCCCAAGCTGTGTAGTAGAGAGAGCTTAAATTTAGAGTCAGGATCTGTATTCTAATCCTGTGTCTGCTAAATTACTTACCTTCCCTTTGCCTTTGTTCCCTCATTTGTAAAATCACTATCTGAGGTTCTTTCCTGCTCTAGTCTTTCATATGTGACAGTACTATTCATGTATTTGTTGATCCATCCATATTCTCCAGCTGAGTTTTGGGACCAGTGATTTCCAACCTAGGGGTGGAAAGGTGGGTCAGAGTTGTCCCCCAAAGCCAAATCATACTAATAACCAACCCCCACAGAGTACTCTAAGGATTGGTTCATTTGTTTGAGATGATATCCTTAGGAAGTACAGGTTCTAGTCTCATCTTACAGATGAGGAGGACACTCAACCTCTGAGGCTAAATGAGTTCTCTATGGTCACATACTTTGTGAGATTTGAACTGATTTTCTCCAGTGCTAGGCCAGCCAGTCTCTGTCCAGTGTACCAAGCTGCCTCTCATCAAAACTAACCAGGCCATACAAAGATGGAATCAAAAGCTCAAAAGTGATACTGAGCAGATTTGACAGAACCCTTAGCACCTGGATTATCTGAAATCCCCCCCCCCAGGCTATAGTACAGTGAGTGGATAACAACTACATTTTTAAGTAGAAAGAGAAATCATTTGTAATGTTAGAGAATCCAAGCCTAAGTATTTTAAAGGGTGTATAAACTTTGACTCTGGCCACTGAAAATATGTGAATTCTTCATATTAGAGAAGCATAATTTGAACATCCACATTAGTGGATCACTGAGGAGTCTCAGCCATCTCTGTAATCGTGCCTTTCTTGGTGTGGTTATTTTCAATCTATTACCTTATGGAGCAGATGGCAATATCGCCATTTATAGATGAAGAAAGTACATAGACACTTAAAGTGAACAAGGTCATTCTTTTAGTGATTTCAGGTAGCATCAGCTGAACTCAGGCATCCACATTTGTGAGGGTTACAAGTATATTATTTGTGTGCAGCTTACATTTATTAGTGTACCCTGCATTTCACAAAACCCACAACATTATTGTGGCTACTTCTAGGGTTGAAATTTTTATCCCTCACCCCTCTGCTCCATTGATTTAGGATAATGACCGATCCCTTAAGATCCCAAAAGAAAGTCTTCCCTGCCTGGGGTGGGCCAAGACAGATCGCACAGCCATAAATGGCTGCCAGTCTCCAGGGCATGGAGATGCTTTGGCACTTCCTAGGTGACCTCTGTCTCACTTAACTCCTTTGTAAAATGGACATGAAATCTGTGCTACATACCTCACAGGTTTTCTGTCACACTTTGCCTGCTTCCTGTTATCATTAGTTTGTTTAGTTCCATTTTACAGATCAGTAAGTAGAGGGATAGAAAAGAAAGTGACTTTCCCAGCATCACACGATTAACTAGTTAATGGCAGACCTTAGGCTAGAACCCAGGGCTCTGGATTGCCAGGTCAGTGTTCATACTAAAGATGGTTGCATATAAATAAGGGGTTTTTTTTTTGGGGGGGGAGGTGTTGGTTTTTTGTTTGTTTGTTTGTGAACAGGTATGAGATGTAGATTTTGACCTTTGTGTGTGGGAGGCTGAGTTGGAGGATGGTGTTATTAATCTGCTTTGCTTCTTTTTCTCTTTAGGTTGTGAGAAGACGTTTATCACAGTAAGTGCTTTATTTTCGCATAATCGAGCCCACTTCCGAGAACAAGAACTGTTTTCCTGCTCCTTTCCTGGATGCAACAAGCAGTATGATAAAGCCTGTCGCCTGAAGATCCATCTGAGGAGTCATACAGGTTTGTGTTTCAGGCGCTCCCAATGTGCCCCTCCCAGAACGTGAGAGCAGTAGCGTGTTGGTGTTTTGGAGAGGAGCTATTTGTAATTCCAGCTTGTGACTTTTCTTTCAGGTGAAAGGCCTTTCATCTGTGATTCAGATGGTTGTGGCTGGTCCTTCACCAGCATGTCTAAGCTTCTGCGGCACAAAAGGTAATTCGGATGCTTTAGAGTATGTTCAGAACTCTGAATAGGGCTGACATGTGTGATGAGCTAAGATTTGGATCTCCTGGACCTGGCCACTTGCAGAGTGGTCTCTTTGTCTAGTCTTCTTCTTTTTAAAACTGAGAAGAGTGTAGTGAACCAGTCTGGGAAGTAGCTATCCACCTACTCTTGGATTTAAGCACTACTTACTTTCCTAAAGAGACTCATTACAACACTGGCTTGATTAATTAGGCTGAATTTTCTAGTGAGAGTATAGCTGAATCTCAGGCCTACTTAGGTAAACTGATGTGGGAGTATCATTTATTTTTCCAGTTAAACAAGCATGTACTTTCTCTTCTTTCCCCTCCTTCCCTGCAATGATATTAACCACAATGTGCTGTGATTGTTTGAAGGCAAATAATTTGTTTAAAAAGAAATATGTGATTAGCAAATTGAATTAGTTAGGATAAGGTTTGGGGCTCAGTTACTAAAATCAGTCTTCTCTCCAATACCTCTTTTGGGTAGGAAACATGAAGATGACCGAAGGTTTACATGTCCAGTAGAAGGCTGTGGTAAATCATTTACAAGAGCAGAACATTTGAAAGGCCATAGTGTGACCCACTTGGGCACAAAGCCATTCGAGTGTCCAGTGGAAGGTAGAATTTACTTTTTATTTTTATCTTTTTTTCTAATCTAAGTGCTGCATGAGACTTGTATAATTAATACCTTTAGTTCTTAGACAGTCATTTGCTTTAAAAGGTCATTTTAGTTGTATGAATTTGGAAAATGTTTAATGAGTACTGTACTTTCCTTAATTGTGCCTTTCCATCAAAAAGTTATATTTGAGCTAGAATTTGTATTAAACAGTTTTTATTGGCAGTGATTAACATTTGATTCACCAAGCATTGTTGAAAGTACCTCCTCCTCCATGCAGGGCATTGCACTAGGCCCTTCAACTACAGAAACAAAAATGAAACATTTCCTGCCCTGTAGGATTGGGCATATACAAAGTAAATGCAAAGTTATTGTGGCAGGTGGGCAGTGTGAGACCCGACTACAGGTGTCACTGAAGCTGAGTTTTGGATTCCAAGGAGGATTCCAAGAAGCTGAGGGGAAGAGAGAGAGCATTGTGGCCAGTAGAATTGGCCCATGTGCACAAAAGCACCGAGATGGAATCTCCTGGAGGTCAGTTTGAAGGAATGGGGAGTAAGTCTGGAACATGAGCATAGAGCCAGATTTTGAAGGGCATTAAATGCCAAACAGGAATTTGAAATGGATGACCACTTAAGGGTCTTTAGCAGGAGAAATGATAAGCGCCTATCTCCATATTGTTTCCATGACAAATTACAAGTTCCTCAGCTCAGCATGTAAAGGCCCCCACAGTACAGTGTCGGCCTGCCTTTCAGCCCTGCCTGGCATTACTGCCTTTTACAGACTAGGGTCTAACCAGGCTGGACAAGAGCTACTCTTGGAACTTGCACAAACCATGCCTACTCTCCTTCCTTAGTTCCCCCATAAAATCCTTATCTTCCTTCAAAGCCAGCTCTTCTTTGGAGCGGCCCTCCTGCCCTCATGGAGCTTACTCTGTAATAAGAAGAGATAATACATATAAGGGAGGGGTGGACAGGGAAGGGTATTTTTGTATGTGAGGTTACAGGGTTGGTGAGTGGAACTTGAAGGGAATAGATTAACACACCTTTTCCAGCAGCATTGACAGTGTTGATTTGATTATGGATCCAGAATTGGAAAGAGTAGGAGGGCCAAGGAAGATGTCCGGATGGCTAGGGAGGAGATTGAGCATGACTGAAGCTGGCTTCCATGTAGTGGGCCATGTGAGGCAATTGGTACAGGGGATGGTCTCTGGTCTCAGTGGCAGCCATCTACTCTGTGTGTGTGTGTGTGTGTGTGTGTGTGAGAGTGTGTGAGTGATAGAGAGAGAGAGAACACACAGACATAGGTGTTCTGTCCCCTCCGTGAATGGTAAGCTTCTTGAGGGCAGAACCTGTTTAGTTTCGTCTCTGTGTCCCTGGAGTCTGATGCTCTTCATTCTCCAGCATAGCCACTTGCTAAGTGTTGGTTGACTGGCTTCCGTTCCAGGTTGCTGTGCTCGCTTCTCTGCACGAAGCAGTCTGTACATCCACTCAAAGAAGCACCTTCAGGATGTGGACGCTCTGAGAAGTCGCTGCCCGGTGTCCAGCTGCAGTAAGCTGTTCACGTCCAAGCACAGCATGAAGTCTCACATGGCCAAACAGCATCACTTTAGTTCAGGTACCGTCATTCTTTCACCTCCACCTCTGACAGGGTGGCCGTGTTCAGAAGCATGAAGACCTCCAGCCTGGAGTGGTGGGTCCTTTGGGTCAAGATCCCTGTGCAATTGAAAAGCCGTTTCAGAAATAACTAGGTTCTCCAATGAGCTATCCAGGCCAGACTAGGGCTGGGTAGAGTGGAAACAAGGTAACACAGAGAGATAGGAAGAAAGCTGGGGTGTGCTGAGTATGTTGGCTTCAACAAGTGAAAGTCCATATCTACCCGACTCCCTACTCCATCAGTCTGTCTCTAGGAATCTGGAAAGGAGGAATAGGCAGTCTCTTTGCCAGCTAGATAAAATAACTTTGTGGGCCAATTACAAATAATCAAGTGATCACTTGCACATAATTTACATTTTCTGGAGTGGAGGTGATAGAGATGGGGATGAGGATAGCTACTCTCTTTAGAATATGAAAGGTCTGGCCCTAATTTTAGGAATTGCTTGTATTAAGTATAACTGGTTAACGAAAACAATTCTTGTTTACTCTGAAATGCAAAAGCTGGTGAAAACTGAAAAAGTCTCTATCAGCAATCAGTACATACTGCTGGGAATAGATAACTGTCTAACTTAGCTATACTTTGCTCTTTTGTAAATATTGGTTATGTAAATTGGGGATTTAATTTATATACAAAAGTCATAACATAAAAGATTATTTATTACTTAAAAACCTGCTTTCCTTCCAATGATTTCATCGAGGAAGTTAGAAGAGAGGGTATCCTCCCAATGGGAAAGTGGGGAGAGGTTGTCAAGGTGAGATACTTCCCTTTTTTCAGTGTTCTTTCAATTCTTCTGATAATAACAGAAACAGATTGTTGGTTATAATATACCTTTAAAACTAATTGTCTTCCTCTCATCTGACAGCCCCTACTTGGAGGGGGGGGGGGTTGCTGCACCAGGACAGCCACAGAATGAAAAGCAGACCAAGTCCACTCCTTTTTAAGCAGTTGTTCATAGGCCTTTAAGATAGGCAGAGGAACTGCATGAAAGAGCCAGTGTGTTTTGAGGGGGATTCTTGCCAGAAGTGTTGGCTTGGGCTCTGCCAGAAATGCTTCGGTTAGTTAGAAATAAGGGTACCTTTTATGTAGTGCTTTAAGGTTTGCGAAGTGTTCAGAAACTTTTTACTATTGCCAAATTTTTCTGCCAACAGCCTCTCCCCCCCAACCCCCCAAATCAGTTATTCGATATGGGGCTGGTACCCACAGTTTAAAAAGTGCTGGTCAAGGGAACTCCTGACCGGAGGACTTTTGCCTTAGCCTGTGGCAATGAGAGGTTTAAGTGGTTTGCCCTGGGTCAAACTCTGGATTCAAAGTTGCCTCCCTTTTCTAGTGTTACCTTTGTGGATAAGCTGTGAATTGTTAATTGAGCTCAGAAATGCTTAACCAATTGGCTTGAAAGAATAATGATTTATAGGTCTGTGTCTGTTCTGATAGAAAATATATGTAGAATGCACAGGCCAGACCCCTGCTGCCTCAAAGCCATATGTGGCCCTCAGGTTCTCAAGTGCAGCCCTTGACTGAATCCAAACTTCTCAGAATAAAACACAGAATAAATGGATTTGTTCTGTGAGGTTTGGATTCAGTCAGAGGGCTGCACTTGAGGACCTAGAGGGCCACATGTGGCCTCCAGGGCTGCAGGTTCTCCACCCCTGACCCAGGGCATTCTTTTCAAAGTCCTTTATTCTCTTCCCAGATTTTTCTTTGTGACTTGGGTAAAGAATAGACAGCAGATGACATAAAGCAAGAAAGAAATTCATGATAAAGATCTTGGGCATTTAATGGACTATAAGCTGTTATAAATCAAAAAAGTTAACGTAGTCTTAATCTGCAGGAACAGAACTGTCTGAGTGTGGCACCCAAAACTGGGCCCAAACATTCAAATAAGGCCTGACCTGGGCTGAGTACTCTACTCAGACTACAGGATTTTTAAACTTAACCCATCACAGGCCAGCTGAACTCTGAACAAAGAGACAAAGAACCATGACTTAAGCAGTTACTGAACAAAATCAATTACCTGTAAATAGGTTCAGTAAGAAAATGATACACTCAATCTTAAACTTCTCGTGAGTCAGCAAAGGAAATTGAAAAGGAGCGGTAGAAGGTAAACCCAGAAGGAGTGGTGTTTTTAAAAAAAAAAACAACCCTCGAAGAGGAGAGAACATCTGAGGAGTAAAGGGTGGTCAGCATTGTCGAATGCAGTGGATGGGTTGAGGAGGATTAGGATTGATGAAAGACTTCTCAGGTTTGGCACCTTTGGAGAGAGCAGTTTCTGTTGAATAGTGAGGTCTGGAAGTCCAATTGCATAAGGTTGAGGAGTGATTAAGAGGAGAGGAATTAGACGTTGTGCCTGTAGACTTACACAGGGTTTGACTGAGAAAGGAAGGAGAGATATAAGTGATTACTTTGAGAGGATGGAAAAGTGAAAGGTTTTTTTGAAGGATAGGGTTGGCCTGGGAATGTTTCAAAGCAGTAGGGAAGCTGTAGATTGGAGAGGGGAGCTGACCATGAATGAACACTCCTGGAGAAGAGTGGGGGCTAGGATCAAATGAGCACATAGAAGGGTTGGCCTTGGGAAGAACAAGGGTTTTTTTCTCTTTTTCAGAGACTGGTGGAAAGGAGAAGAGAGTGAGAAATGATGAAGAGAAGGTGGGGAAAGGGAGCTTATAGTGAATGGTTTTCTGCTTTTTCAGTTGGAGAGAAAGAATGTGAAGGACCTGAGGGGAGTGAAGTTTTAGAATAACTTATTTGGGAAGTGGGTTGGGTACTCCATAGGGAGGAGTGAGAGGACTGCTTTGCTGAATTGAGGGCCTGGTTGAGGTTGGATAACAAGACATTGTAATGTGGCCCAGCCAGTTGTGGGGCTTCATTTAGTGACCCATGAGTAAGACCAGAGAGGTGGGGGTAGTGGGAGTAAGCAGTGAGCAGAGGCCAGAGTAGGACTGCAATAGCCAACTGTTGGGTTGAGATTGTAGAGGGCCAGAAGTGAAATCTGAGGAAATACTGAAAGGAGGACGGCATGGCGGTCTTAATGTAGGTGAAGAACAGGTGCAGAAGGGGCGAAAAACAGGAAGAGGTGAACAAGAGGAGGGCGTAGTCACATAGGGCAATGTTGGTTTCTCATTAAGCCAAGTATAGTAACAGAGGTGGGAAAGCCAGAAGTACAAGAGGCATGAAAGGAGAGTCAGTCAGCGATACAGCCAGAAATGGGGGCTGGGGCCAGCTGCGAATGGCCATAGCTAGCGTGGGATTCTCTTCAGTAGGCATGGGTTAGCCATACAAGATATTTGGCATAGATTAGACTCTGGCAGCTTCAAAGGTTTAAATAGAAAGGTGTGGGAGTGAGCCTGGAGATTGGTAGATCAATAAGGAGGCAGGTGAAAGTAGTTCAGGGAGTTGAGAGCATTACTAGACTGGTGGCAGTAGCCAGTGTAAGAACAAGCGTGGTTCAGTTTCAGGCCGGGACCACAAAGGTTGGGCCTGGTGAGGTCTCTTCTTTGAGGGTTTCAGGTAAATGTCAGAGCAGACCCAGTGCCCCATTTAGGTCTGAATTGAATCCCCATGGCGGAGCGATCATTCTGATGTTGGAATGGCACTGCTGCCAGGTTGCATCACTATTCATCTGCATATGGGCAAAATACCCCCAAAATGGGGTATTTTGAAAAGGAAAAATATATATATAATCAATGTATTTTTTTTTCCTTTTCAAAATACCCACATAGGCAGTGGGGGGTGAGTGTCACAGATCATTTAAGAACTCTTCTTGGGCATAAAATTTATGTAAAAGTATTTTCCAAACCTTGAAGCACTATATAAATGTTAGCCATTACTTCCTTACATATAGGTTACATATCAACGTATGATCACAAAAGTGTAAGCAAACTGTAAGTATGAGTTTCAGAAGGTTTCTATGGAAATAATAGCTGGAAATGAATGAAGATTATATGTTAATTTCATTAGGATAATGGAGTATCTTACTTAGAATAATCATATGGCTGTTTCATTGCTTTTTAGACCTTTTAAGCCAGCTTGAAGCTACAAGTTTTCTTACACCCAGCAGTGAACTTACCAGCCCAGCACAGAGCGATCTTAGCAACATAGACCTCGTGTCTCTCTTCTCTAACGTATCTAGTAACAATTCTGCAATTACAACAGACATGGCATTAGTAAACTCTGGAATTTTGACAATAGATGTTGCTTCTGTGAGCTCAACTCTTGGGGGGAACCTTTCTGTTAATAATAATAATAACTCCTTGGGGCAGGCTGTGGACCCATTGATATTGGTGGCCAGCAGTGACATGCCTCACAGTCTTGATAGCTCTCTGTTGCTGGGTACGACCGCCACAGTTTTACAACAAAGCACTTTAAATTTGGATGACGTCCAGACTGTAAATGCAGAAGCACTGGGGTCTCTGGCATCTCTGTCTGTGAAGAACTCCGGTCAAGATCTTCCTGCTCTGACATCTAGCAATAACTTAACAATAGAGCCAGCCACACTGACTCCGTCCAGCAGCCTCACTGGGAGCAATGTTCCTGGACTCCTCACGCCACCCAAAACTGAGCAGGACTTACTTCCTGGCTCAGATGTTGGTGGACAGCAGGAAGGAAGCAAAGTCGTGACTCAGTTTGTATTCTCCAACCCAGCAGCAAGCTACAGTGCTCAAAAAGAAATGGATCTCCACGCAGTGCCTGGGAGCTCATTTTTGGTAGGTAGTAATTGGGAATAGCTGTAGCTGTATCCAGTTTTGATGATGCTTTTTGGCTTAAGTTTGATTCTTGTTGATTTATCTAAGCACGTGATGTCCTGGAAAGAGCATAGAGCTGGGAGTCAGGAGCCCTAGGTTGTCCTAATAATGATAAATAACCAATCAGTGACTATTTATGTAGCACTTGAAGGTTTGCAGAACACTTGACTCCCGTGAGCTGTGTGACCTCAGACAAATCCCTTGAACCCAAGTTTCGGATTCTCCATCTGTCAAGTGGAGGGGCTGGACCAGGCAGCAGGCAGCCTCTTCCAAGTCCTTTCATACCTCCGACTTCTCATCCTTTTTTTCTTTCCTTACTAAAGAAACCTTCAGTTTTCAGTGATGGGAGAAGATGATTGATGGGCTTTTCTCAATTTCACCTCCACAAATACTTATTTTGTACTTGACAGCGTTCTGTCTTTCTGAAAAGCCCTTAAGGGAGGGGTCTTCACCTCATTTGTGCCAGGGACCCCTTGGGCAACAGACAGCAGGTTGGCAGAGGCCAGGGACCCCTTTCTCGCTAAAATGTATAAAAAAACCCATAACTTTATGAAAAAAATCAAATCTATTGGTTTATCTAATTATATGTTCAAGATAAAACAAGTTCCCTCACACTAGGTTAAGAGGCCCTCCCTTAAAGGGGGAAACTACCATGTGTGAATAATTTTAAAAAGCCAAATTACTAACTTAATCTTAAATTGGATATGAAGGAATATAATGAGAAAATATAAGGGAACACACAATATTGTGCGTGTGCTTTTGAGTATTCATGAAACATTTTAGAAATATTTAACCTTCTTTAAGACTTGGTTTATTCCAAACAGATTCTTGCCCCCCCCCCAAATAACCAAATATTTTTGGAGGCATTTAACATCCTAACCATCTGAATTGGGAAGAGTACACAGCTGTTGTTCACTCTGACAGCTATAGACTAAGGGTCTGATAGTCATGCTAAGTCTGCCCCCACCTTGGAAAGGGACCTATGTGCCCCAAGATCTTTGGCAGTAGCTGTGCCCAGGGAGGGAAACTGAGGCCCTGAGCAGTTCATTGTGGGTGTTTCTGAGGGGTGAGGAAGTCTTGACAGAAAGTCCTGCTGCTTCAGGTTGATTTCTCATTGTCCCCCAGAGCACTTTTCCTGCCTCTGGTGATGGCCAGGGAGTTGAGCAGAGTTGGCCTTCCACTTATTCTGCCCAGACTCACTTTGCCTCCTGGCTTCTGCTCAGGACTCGACTGGCCACAGGACCTGGGTTTGAGTGTCGTTTTTGCCACTCAGTACCTGTGGGACATGGGTCTCATTTTTTGTCCTGTCTCAAATGAAGGATTGGGCTGGGTGGTGTCTAAGATTGCTTCCTGCTTTAAACAATATTGTCTAATGAAGGGAGTGGAGAAATGGAATGAGAAATTTTCAGTTGTTTGTCTCATCATTTAATTAACACAGCATTATAATGAGGTCTTTTCCAGAGGTCTGGCAGCTTCACCTGTTGATTGGGGCTGAGAACTAGGAGATACTTTTTAAAACACCAGCAGGCAGCTTGTAACAGTAATAATAGCTGACGTTTCTGTATCTTTTACTGTGTGCTGCACAGTTATGCTCTCCTCTTTGCTGACAGCAGAGCTCTTCCCATTGCCCTCCAGTTAACTTTTATTTTAAACACATTTCTGACAAACTTTGTCATTTGGGTTTCTCAATCAGAGCAGATGAATTAGAATCAACAAAGAAGAAGAGGTAGTGGACCTTGTGTAACTTGGGAGCAGTAACAGCTGACAACAAAGGAAGAGATTGAAAAACCACAAAAAGCTATAGAACTCATAAGCCATTTTAGTTTGGGCAGACATTCCAACCTGGCTTCATGGCTCAGGGTTCTTTTTAACCTACAGCACAGTCTAGTCAGGGAGGTTCCTAGGGATGACCTGGTCACTAGGAAGACCCTAAGTGTCTGCAGTATCTTTTCTTTAAGCAGACACACAGATGTGAGCTGTGGTTTAGATTTCCATTCTGCCCACCTCAAGCCCAAGAAGGCCTAGGGACTTCGCTTGTCAGGACTCTGGACAGATCTTGGCCTCTAAAGTTACAAGGTTTGTGCTTTGGTAAGAGGGAGTTTCCCCACCTGGGAGTTCCCTTTAACATAAAATGAAAAGTCCAATCCCTGTCTCTCTCCCTGTGGTTAAATGAAATGATCATCCCATTTAAAGGGGGTAAAATCCATGTATGCATGGATCCTCTTTCCCTGACAGAGCTGGTTAATTGAGGTGTTCTGCAATCCCATTTATATGCAGATGTAGTCTGATATGAATTTGGGTTTCTTGTGTGCTAATGTGAGATTTGGGGCTTTCATTTGGAGTCTTGGCATTATTTTTGTAAAAAGATTGGGATGTTTAATTTTATTTGAGTAACAAAAAAGTTCCATAACTTATGCTTTGCTACCCTTGCTTTTTTTCATTCCTTTGTTGTTTAGATCGAGTGACTGACAAACTTTTCTTTGGTCTCAGGAAAGTGGGGGCTCAGCAAGAACTGATTATCGAGCCATTCAGCTAGTCAAGAAAAAAAAAGAGAAAGGGCCGGGAAGCAGCACAGGTGAGAAGGGCATGGCCCCCAACCGCTGGCCCCGTGAACTCCAGTGGGACTTATAGACCAAAGTCTCCTCTCAGTGGATAGTGGATCATTTTGCAGCCACCTATGTGGAGTAAAATGGCTTTTACAATAGTTAGATCTCCTTTTGAAATCTGTCCAAATCCTATATTATGGTAGAATGTCTTTTTCAAAATCGGCAAAATGTTTAACATTTCCTTCAGAATTCAGTGTAGGTTTATTTCTCTTTCCTGAAAAATTGAGGGTAAATCATGTCACCCTACAGCACTAGTGAAGCTCAGTATTCAGAGAGACTTTCCTGTGAATCCTTTGGTAGGAGGAACCATCCTCCTGAAATACAGATCAATTTCTAATGATTCTGTTCTGTGATTTTGGAATTTAAAGCAAAATGTCTTTATGATAGAGCCGTTCTTTTCCTGCATCTCCACGATATTGCATGTGGATAAAACTCTGTAAAAAGTATTTTTGTGGGGAGAGGGGGCCCCTTGGACCTGTATATATGGGGGGAGCTGGAGCAGTATCCATACTCTGTGTGCACAGGAGGTAGAGCCCTGGCCCCTGTTGATGGGATGAAGGAGAAAGATTCGGGGTGGGGAGACCAAGCAGAATTAGGATTTGGCCCGGGAATAAACAGAAAAGACACTTTTGAAGCACTTTACTATGTGTAAAACACTCTGAGGTATCAGGGGTTCAGAGAGGAAAGTGAGACCAGGCCTGCTCTCAAGTACTTATGTTTGAATGGGTGCAGTTCAGAGAATACTTTGGTGTTTAGGTTGGCTCTGGTTCAATAGTTTTAAAAAATGTTCAGGGTTAGTTTGGGTTTGAAGAAATCCCCGAGGTGTGTTTTATTTTTGTTGGGATGGGGGTGGTTTCCTGGGCTGTAGGCAGCAGCAGAGAGAACGTTTCCTCCTCTCTCCGGCCTCATAGCCTTGTTAAGGTTCGGAGTCCTTGGTGCCATGGGAGGCTCCATCAGTGCAGCTGGAGACAGGAAGCACTGTCTGTCCTGCTCTTCTTGAGCTTTCACTCTCAAAGCCCAGTGCTGGGGAGCAGGGACCCTTCCAGGCCAACAAATGGGGAAGTTCCTCCTCTAATTGAGGCAGGAGTTGTGGTTCTTGCCCCACTCATGCTGAGACACCTCTCTGAACAGGAGGAAGGTGCGCCAGCCCTGGGTGATGGGAGCCAAGCATGGGCTTTGCCCTAAGAGAGCATACCTTTATTTGGGGGGAAATGGCTGGTTGACTGTCCAGGGCCTAGATCAGTATACCTGTTTTATTGTGAAGTCTACAAAGGCCCTTCTCGTCTGTTTCAGAGTTTGGCTGAAGTGTATGTCACTTCCCTGAAAAGTTGAGGGTGAATCTCACCAGTTGTTATTCCTGTAGAGCTCAGGACATGGCAGTGAATCCTTCTGTAGTGGGAGAGCTGTCCTTCGGTGTTGTTCAGCAACTGAGTCACACCTTCTCAAGACATGACCCTTGCCACAGAACTGTGTAGACAGACAGGTAAACCAGTGACACAGCAGAGGTTGTCTTCACTGAATTTCATGGATGAAATACACATCTGGCATATAGCATATGGCTGCTAGGTTGCCATCCCATGGCTTGTTTTCATCTAATTCAGCTCACTCACCCAGGGAGGCCATGCTAGTGGCAGGCTGATGTCTCAGGGGAAGAACTCTGTTGCAGAACTGAGCACGGAGGTTCTAGTCCTTCCTATTTTAGAGGGGCCTGAGAGACCCAACTCAGCCCTCTCCCTGCTCTGGTTCTTGCTGTGTGGTCCTTTTGACAGCCCTTCCAGGGGGTGGTGCCATAATTTATGCATGGTGAGCCCTGTGACAGGGAATGCTGTTTTTTCATTTCTGTATGCACTGTGCTTTGCACACATAGGCACTTTATGTAGACATTTGTGCAAGTTAAATTCATATCAATATTTTACAGATGAGGAAACTAAGATTCAGAGAGAAGAAAAGTGCCTTGCTCTGAAGGACATCACTTTAAAAGTCAAGGGAAGGCACATGAGCTGCTTGATAGCATGTAGCTCCTTCCTCTCTGTTCTGCTGCCAAGAGCAGCGTGTACATTCCCCAATTCCTCCCACTGTCTTTCCTCCTGCTTCCACCACCACCAGTGCTCTGAGGACTCAATTACTAACTGCCTGGCCTATGGCAGACAGTCCTCACAGGTCTCCCACCTGATGATTCCCCTGGACTACACTCCAGCTACTGTTAGACTCACCTTGCTTAGGCATCATTCTGCTCTGACTCAGAAATCTGCAACGGCCTCTTCAGGCCTGGCGCCAGGGTATGCTGCTGCTGCTGCTGCTGCTGCTGCTGCTGCTGCTGCTGCTGCTACTACTACTACTGCTACTACTGCTTCCCTTATTGCTACAGCTAGTACTGCTGCTACTACTACCACCACCACCACTACCACTGTACATTCACTCTCTTTCTCTCTGTATCCTAGCCAAAGCTGGCTTGCTGCCCATCAAGACATTGTACACTGTATCCTTCAGGGAAGAGAATGCAGCAGAGTCACGTTTTACGTGAGCATTAGGTTCTAAAGTCAGTGTGGAAGGCAAAAATCACGTGTGGTCAGTTACCCTTTTAAAAATCCCTTAAATTTGATTGGCTTTGAATTGGAATTCCTTCCTATTAGAAGGCTATACATCTTCTGCAGGAGGCTCGAGCAGAACATTGAGGCGGAGGGTCTTTACTTGAAACATATTGTTGTTAATATGCACACATTTCTAGTTCTTGCCTTTCAGTCATTAGTTTAATGCTTTTTCAGTCTTCACTCGTGCGTTCACCATTTTTTATGAGTTAAAAACTCATCACTTACTTATTTGGATAGCACATAACTCTCTCCAAACCCTGTGGCCACAGTGGGAATAATGAAGAGCAAAGCAAGGGCTTTGAAGTATGGGAAAGATTTTCCAGCTCTTGGGGTTGAGCATTTCCCAGCCGGATCACAAAGGGTGTGGATGAGGCTGTGATAACAGGAGGTTGCCCCCAGTGTTATTATCCACAGGGCATACTGCTGTCTCCAGGGCCGTGACCAGGGGTCCAAGCACACCTAAACGTCAGGGCTAGGTGGGAAGTTCATGTTTCTGTGTTTGCAGATGAGTTAAAGACCAAGGGCACAGAAATCCCTAAGAACACAGAATCCCTATGACATGGCACTGGGTGCTGGACAGGGTCAGGGGGCCATTGCTCTATGTGTGTAGTTGTAATTGTCATAAGTTAAATGTACATTTGATGGGATAGTACAGTATATTGATGTGAAAGATGGTTGGGTTTGTCCCTAACCATGGAGAATAACTCAGCCCTAATGACATCCCAATGAAGGAGGCGAGATTCTGCGTTTGGCTCTTTTGGCAAATGTGATTTGTACATATTTAGTCTTTAATGCCTTGGAAAGGTTAGGATTGTTCTGATTTATCCCCAGCCATAAGGCTTAAGGAGCCTGATCTCAGGTCTGTTTTTAGCCAGTTTGTCAGTAACAAAGCTGTAGCCCATCCTGGCCACTTATCTGACTTAATCTCCTTCAGACTAGGAATAAACTAAGCCTTGTAGTAATCCTCAGGTTTGTATCCTGGCTAAATGGGAAACCAGTGTTGTCCATAGAAACATTCTAATAATGCCATCTACTGGTGGTTTTAAGAAACAACATTCACATAGCATTGTGTGCTTCATAAAAATATTTTTTTAATTAATTTTTTTTCCACTGAATCTGTTTTTTCTTTCTCTCATCCTCCCCTTCTAATTGGGGGGAAAGTAGAAAAGCAAAACCTTTGTGACAAATGTGCATAGTCAAGCAAAACAAATTCCCACAATGCTCATGTCCCCTTCTGTGCCCTGAGTCCATCACGTCTGTCGAGGGGCAGCATTGCTTAATAAAGTCTTAAAGATAGTCATGGAACTTAGAGCTGGGAAGGACCTCACAAGTCATAGCATCTGCTTGGTTCATTTTATTGGGAGGGAACCAAGGTCCCTAGAGACTGGGTGATATTCCCAAGGACACACAGAAAGTTCTGTTTTCTTACCAGCGGCATAACTGAAAAATCTAGTGCACATCATTAAGTTCAATTCTTTCTACTTTTTGTGTTGCTTAAGTGAAAGTAAATGTGAGAGGCATCATGCTATATATAGTATAGAGAACCAGCCTCAGAATCAGGAAGATGTGGGTTCCAGTCCTACCTCTGATGTGTACTAGCCAAGTGAGACCCCAGCCAAGTAATTTAACACCTCAGTGCCTCAAGCAACTCTATAAAACTGTAAGTTGCAAATAGGTTGTCAAGCTTAATTGGTGGAAGGAATTTCCATACTGGCAGTTGCCCATACAAAGTGAAATCTCAGAGACTTGACCACCTTCTCCAGAAATAAGTGTCCAAAACGTTGAGTTTTCCTGATGCAATGACTTTTTTATAAATTGGCAGTGTTGAGCTTAATAGTAAATTTGTTGTCAACAGTGTGGGTGTATGTTAATCCTTTTCTCTATTGATAAATATTTGAAACAGTGAATGAAAAAAAACAAATGCTCAGTTGCCCTAGTAACTCTACATTTAGCTTCCCCCAGTTTTATGCACATACTATAGTAGCAGAAATTCCTGCTAACCACCTGAAGGTCTGGGGGGAGGCAGGCCTTGTAGGGTCTTGAAGGCTCCAGCCCCAGGGAGGTGGGGAGATTCAGAGAACTGTCACCAGAAGCTTGGCCATCGGGAGGAAGTTTTGCCACAGAGACTCACAAACGTACTGCATCCTTTGTGGAATGAGCATCTACACTGATGAGATCACTGAATTTATCCAAGGATTAGAGATGGAAGGAAACATTCAGTTTTGCTCTGCTTAGTAAAAAATCAAGCTAAGTGTAACATCAAAGCGTTTGGAGGTTTCTTCTTAGGCACCTAGACTGACTTCTTGGGGCATTTTAAAGTCTAGGAAAAGCTATCCTACAGTGTTTTTCTTCTGAGTATACGAAGGAAGTGAACTGATTTAAGTAAAGGATACACAAGCATACTAAAGTTGTTGGTTTTTCTACTTTGTTTCAGGGTCATCAGGATCAACTCAAAGGAAATTAAAAGGTGGTAAAGTGAGTCCCACTAATTTCTCCACAAGTCCTAGCAGTCGATTATGTGGGAATATCGTAGTGCCAAATGGAGGCTTAACAGTGCGAGATCCGGCCACCGGAGCTCAGTTTGTTCAGATTCAGTTATTGCAGGTAAGAGTGCCTGATTGAGAGGAAAACGAGCCCCAGACGTTTGTTAGGGATCTGAAGTTTAGGTCAAACTTAGGTTGCATCAAGAAATAATAAATTAGCACCAGCATCAGATAAAATGCCCTGTTTTCTGCTTCTAGATATTTCTCTGTGTACCTGCTCCACCAGAGCAGAGTACAGCCCATCCATGCCTGTTCATTCTGTTCAGTGATTGCCCACGTCCTAGAAATTCTCCAAGAGACTCTGTCCAGAGAGAGGCTCCTTCCAAAGCCTCTAACATTCTGTGGATAATCACAGACATTCTGAGTACAGCACTGATCTCCTTTGTCACTACATGAGTTGTCCTCTTTCCAGGCTAACTTGCTTTTTTTCTTTTGCACCATCTCCAGAAGCATAAGTTTTTGTTAGTGACAATATGCTGCATCTTTCCATTGCCTCTTCAAAAATTTCTAATTCTCTGTTACATTTCTGAACATTTTGAGTAGAGAAATGAGATAGTATCAAATAGTCCAGAAGGACTTGAAAGCAGAGATCAAAGATACTAGTGCTGCCAGTAGTCAGTGATTATCATGTACTGTGCCAAAGACAACTCAACCGCCATTTATTGTCCCCTTGTCCTGGGCGCTAGAGGGGAGACAGCTTATGCTCTTAGAGGCTGCCATGGCTTTTCTGGCTTTGCCTCATTTCTTGCTGTATTATTTCATTTAAGTCTTCTCATACTTCTCTCAATTCTTCATAGTCCTATCTTACTACTCAGTAATAATAACAGTACTATTCATGAGCCATAAGATTTTGGTCATTCCTCAACTGATGGGCAATTACTTTGTTCCTAGTCCTTTGGTTTCAACCAAAAAAGTGTTGCTATGACTATAGCAGGTATTTGTGTGTGTGTGTGTGTGTGTGTGTGTACACTTCCTGTTTTTTACCTCTTTGGGATACATACCTCGCAATGAGATCTCTGGGTCAAAGAGTCAAATATTTTAGCCATTGATTTTAGCATAATTCCAGTTTGCTTTCCAGAATGTAAAGTTCCACCACCTTTGTAGTAATGCACTGTTACTGTTCTCTAACCCATCTGGCATTGACTTCTCATCCTTTGTCATCTTGGCCAATATGCTCACTTGGGTCTTTTTGACAGGGAGTGTTATCTAACCATAACTCCCTCTGACTGTACTTATTCAAATGATTGGAAGTATGTCTGTCCTTATGTGTTATCGTAGTATTTCAGCCAGGATTCCAGCCTGTCAGCATCTTTTTGGATCCTGACTGCTATCTAATATGTTAGCTATTCCTGACTTTATTCAAGTTGTTGATAAAAATGTTGAGGTCAAGCACATATCCCTGGGACACTGCACTAGACTTTTCTGCAAGTTGACATTGAGTTAGTAATGACTACTCCTTGGGTCTAATGGAAAGTCTGAGCATTTATAATGCTCAGAATAACTTGGTTGTTCACAATTGTTTTCCAGGCAGTATAGTTAGTTCCCCCTCATTTGATGTCTTCAGTCAAAGACTAGATGACCAATTACCAGGTACCTTGTAGAGAGAAGGTTGGAGTGGAGTGTAAGGTCCCTGATAGAATGTAAGCTCATTAAAAGTAAGGATTATTTTTTGTCTTGGAATTCACAATGCCTGGCACAGTGCTTGGCACATCGTAAGCTCTCAATAAATGGACATGGATTGATTGGCTTCTGACGTTCCTTTCACTTCAGAGATTCTATGAGTATAAAGGTTCCCTGGGCCTGATAATTTGCTCATTTAGGGCAAGTAGATGTTGAAATAAAATCTTCTTACTTATCTTCGGTTTTAACTTCTTGTTAATTAGTTTTGTTTGGTCCCTTTCAGCCCAGAGAGCATTCTTTCTGAAGGGGAAAATGGTGGCAAAATAACAGTTGAGTAGTTGAGCCTCCTTACTGTCATCTGTTATCATCCCCCCATCTCGTCTTTAAACCTGGTGCATAGTTAAACCTCTAGCATGGTTAAGGCTCCCCTTTCCCCTTTCTGTTAGCCTCAGCAGAGACAGGCGATGAGGGATCATTCTGATGTTCGTGTTCCTGTCCTTAGAAGAACCTGCTGCACTGTGGGCTTGGTCCTCAGCAGCTTCTCGTTCCTTCCATCTTTAAAATCTGACTTGATAGGTTAATTCTCTGAACAAATAAATTGATGTGTTTAGAGAACTTCCGAGGCCATAACTGGAGAGATTTATGCAAAATGCTTTGTGAAAAAGCTTAAAGTACAATACAAGTGTTAGCTGGGACTGTTATTCCACTCTGCCAGTGGAAAGGACTCTAGGCCCTGCAGTCACCTAGAGCCTTCCATTGACCTAGAGAATGATTCAGTGTGTGGAAGTAGACAAGGGTAGAGTGCAGAGAAGACCACAGTGATAGCCTGAGCAGATGTGGGAGATTGGTGAAAGGGTTTTCATTGAAGGGATGTTCTTCAAATGCTTCTCTTCACAGGTCACATTGTAGTAATTGTATTAAGTCCCTATGCTTAGTAATACAAGATTATTATGATAGTGAAAAGCCCCAAGTAGATGACAAAAGAGCATTGGTTAGACTGTCTCTATGTTATATGGCTTTGAGCCATGGAACACTGATGTCAGAAGAATTAAAATTACAGGTAACCCAAAGGATAATGGAAAGATAAGTGATGGAGTTAAGCAGCCTGAAGAACGTTATCAGTGAAGACTTGTCTGCAAGACAAAAAAAAAGTATAATGAGAATGAGACAACTTAGGGACACCTAGAATTGAGATATATTGGTGCCCCCAAGGTCCTAAAGGAAAAAGAGATTCCTTTGGTTCACTGCTTAGATTGAGGAAAATGGACAAAGTTTGCATAGAGTGCTAAGGTATGGAGAGGGTACAGTCTGCAGTGGTGGAAAGAATGCTTCCTAGATCTTCCAGAGCATCAAAATAAAGGTGTGTGCGAGCCATGATGAGGTAAATGTGGGGAGAGGGGAGGGGAGTGGGAACCACGAGCTCATTCAAAGAATTTTAAAGTAGATTAGTAGAGAGAAGTCAGGAAGAAGTTAGTATAGGAATTGGGTAAAGTTAAACTACATTTTTTCCCCCAATTATTAAACATTTGTTTTTTCTCTGTCCTTCCAACTGAAAAGATAAATAAAAACAAAACCCTTGTTACAAGTAGGTATTGTCAAGCAAAACAAATTTTGATATTGTCCACATCCAAAAATATGTGTCTGTTGCACGTTTACTTCATCATCGATCTTCTGGAATCTTGATGGATCACCGTGTTGAGCAGAGGTCTTCAATCTTTCCAAAGAGCTCATTTTTACATCATTGCTGACACAGCATAAATTGTTCCAGATTGAGAATAATGTAGAGCCGGCAGAAGGATCTCTTACCTTAAGAGATTTTTTCCTACTGGTGTGTTTCACCAGACTTTGAAGCACTCAAGATTCAGATCACTTTGCTGGGTGCCAGGGATGCAAAGTAGAGAAATAGCCACTACCTTTAAAGAGCTTACATTCTATTTAGGGAACCCAGCATAAGTCATTATGGATAACATGGGGCGGGGGGGCCACGGGGGAGAAATGTAGCAACAGCTGAGTGAGAGAAGTCAGGGAAGGCTTCCTGAAAGAAAGGAGTCCCTGAGTTGAACCTTGAAGGAAACACGTATTCTAGGAAGTAGAGATGAGGACTAAGTACATTCTAGGCTGAGATGCTGGGATGTTGGAGTTCGAGGAACAGGGAACTTTTCTCATAATAACTAGTTTGATTGAAACCTCATGCTGCCCATCCCGTTATGACTGGTGTCTGGTCCTGTCCTCTGTCCTGCTGCTACTCACAACCCAACAGTCTTCTTGGGTTGGAGAAACCAGACACATGGCAGAGCAGCTGGTTAGAGAGTGTTTGGGTCTTGTGCAGACCAGAGGCACAGTTGTGAGAATAGGGGACAAGTGGGAGTCATCTGTGAAGTGAACGGCATTTTCTGACTTACTGTTGGGTAGTGATAAACATGGACACACATGAAAAGATGGAAAAGAGATTATTAAAGTGGATGAAGTGTACGTGAAGTTTTGAAGACTTTCTTTGATTACCTCTTCCTCAGGATGATCCCCCTGGCGATGGAGACTCACCATTTCAGCTCAGCTCTCAGTCTTCCACATCACATTCTCAACTTACTGTGGATTTACCAGTACATATACTTCAGGTATGATTTTTTAGAACTTTCTTCTTATTGCCAAATTAGGTTAAAAGATAACTGATTTACTACTAGTATCCAGCATTAACTGTTAAGTAAAACTAAAGTGTCTGATAGCAAGGAGCTTTGATGATTTTTCAAAAGATAAAAGGATCTTGCCTGTTTTCATAGGTCCTTTGTGTCTTTTGGTAATCACTGGTACATTCCAGTAGAGAAAATTAAGAGTTCTGTTATAGTTATATTTATGAATGGCAGTACAGTTGCTCTTCACTGCAGTTTTCATAGTCTCACTCTAATGTAGAAAGCTAATTTGACCAGTAGTGACCATTTTTAAGAGAAAAGAAACAGAGGTTAATTTGCCCAAGTCATTGGCTGGACTAGGAACAGAAAATTCAGAATGTAAATAAATGATCAACAACTTGGATATATTACCTGAAGTATAACAACTCAGTTTCTAACAAATGCTTATTTTTCACATTTAAAAATTCCAAGTAGTCCTTTAACTCCAAAATTCTCATTTCAGTTTCTTGCTGTCTTCAGATTAGTTATCTGTTGCATTTTATCAGTAGTAAAAACAAAAGAAATGCTATGCCTAGTCAGCTCTTGGAGGCCTGAGAGTCTCTGAGAGTGGTGAGTATGATGCAGCTGCCTAGGGAGGGGTGTCCAGGCTTCACCAAGCCTTCCCATTTCATTTGAGGTGAACTCCCAGCACTTCTAATTTTGGTATTCACTCTCTGTTTTGGTTTTATAGGAGCCACACACTTCAACTGAGGATGATGCTGGTTCTGATAACTCACAGTTCACAGGAAGCACAATAAACTTACAGGACCTAGAATGAGACTATTAATATTGCTTTGGGGGTGGGGAGGGATGCAAAGAGTGCAATCATGCTATGGAAAATGGAAAAGATGTTTCCAGAGCTTAATTTAATTTAATTTTTAAAAAAAAATGTGAAAAAATATTGGAGCTAATGCAGCTTGTTTTTTGGTTCCACACAGAGAATTTCTTCAAAGGACTCTTGGATGTATCAGTAGCTGTTGTTTGCCTTCTGCCTGGACTGTTAGGAAAGGGTCCCTTGGGTTGGGTTATATGAAGCTGTCTTGCAAACTAGAAGGGCTATGATAAAGCAAGCACTTTGATCCAGTAACTTACACCACTTTGGTTTGTGAATCTGCCTTTCCATTGTTGAACTTGATCCACAAATCATTTGTTGCATTAAAAAATGACAACTTTTGAGAGGAGGCAAAGATTTAGGTCAATCAGTAAATATGAGACTATCTGTCTCTGAGCGCTTAGACTAGAAGGGAAGAAGATACGCTGATGCTGACGCTTCATCAGCAAGAGGCCTCGCCCCGCACACCTTAAGCCCATCCGTTAAGCTGTAGGGGATTGTCATATGATAGAGAGGAGACAAAACCTTACATCCTTGGATTAGTCATTGGAGAGGCATTCCATCCAGCTGTCCTTGTCACACATGTTGGTTGGCTCTTCCCATTAAGGGATGCCCTTGGGACATCCGTGTTCCAAGTACTTGAACTATGTAGGATTAAAACTGGGAGTGACCCAAGAGGCTGTCTAGGCCAACCCCTTTATTTACAGAGGAGGAAACTGAGGCTCAGAGGGTGTCATAGCAGCATTCGAACCTATGTCTTCCTGATTCCAAGTCCAGCCCCTCTGTCCACTCTGCTGCACTGCCCGTGTTCAACATGGCATCCGTTGTGCTGCAGCATGAGGCCGCCAAGACTGTCATGAGGAAGTGAAGGTGTGAGCCCCAGTGTCGTGGTGCCAAGGACCTGGGATTCTGTCTGTGGGCGCTCTCTCCACCAGCGCCCTACCTCATCTCAGAGCCATCTGCATCTCGGGGGGCCAGAGGCGAGATTCCAATGTGCGGCAGCACTGGCCGCTCCACTGCACCCCCAGCCCTAGTGTGAGAGGAGGTGTGGGCTTCCAGCTGCATGACATCCCTTCAGTACACATTGGCCTGTTTGGAACAAGAGGAAAAAGCAGGACCGTCAAGTGCACCTGGGGGTGGGCTTCTGGCCATCCTGGTTTTCATACCCCACATAAAATTGGGCATAGAGTTTACCTTTTAAAAAATTAAATTTTGCTTTTGGGCATTTACATTTGTTGGTCACCTGACGGTTTCTGAAGTGTGTCCTGAATGCCTATAAAATTATGTATAGGACTTAATAATAGTATGGCTTGTATACCTTCCTGTTGTGAGGTCTAAAAATATGCTTTGTATAATAGGTATAAATAGTATTTTTTACAAAGAAAGCCATGTCATACAAGGACATGAGTTTATAACCTTGCACATATTTATTTGTTATTTACAGTTATGGAATTCACACAGGGTGATTCAGAAATGCTTTTTTTTTTCTTGTGCCTTTGGAAGTCTATGCTTATGTAAAAATGCTGTTTTGTTTCTCAGACCTGAAAGGAATACAGATTACTCGTACTCTGCATTTCTTGAATTTTTAGACTTGTGCTCTTTGGAGCAATTCCAGCAGACCACTGCGACTCCTAATCTGCCCTGCTGTCCGTGCTCCCTGAAACCCCTTCTGAGCCAGTTCCAGCAGGGCCGTGCCCTCATGTTCACCTCCTCCTTGCGGGCACTCCTCTTCATGGAATTGCGTGTTGCCTCCCTGGCCGCCGGCTGATGCCAGTGCGGTCAGAGAACGTTCCCATCTGTTCCCTCTACCAGCCCAGTCTCCTTCCCACCCCATCAGGGACGCTCCCTCTTGGGAGGCTTGTGACTGTGGCTTACAGGGATGTGTGTGTGTGTGTGTGTGTGTGTGTGTGTGTGTGTGTGTGTGTGTGTGTGTGTGTGTGTGTGTCACTAACATGGGACACATACTGACTAGTAGTCAGATTTTTCTTGGCTTTGAGGTTCATTGCTGGCAATGGACATGACCCCCAGTGCAGATGAATTAATAAAGCTGTTTTGTTTTTTTTAATGGTCTTGCACTTGCGGTTTTACGTGACTTAGTACAAGGAACTGTGACTCCTGAGGGTTGAAAATTTATCTGCCCAGTATTGGGAATAACTTTCCCATTCACTGACTCTTCGTCTAGTGCCTTTCCTCTGAATAGTGTAGCTTGAGGCATCGTTTCTGTTCTCTCCCCACTGCTTTTACAGAACTCTTAGGAAAAGGTGGTTTATTACAGAGGAAGAAAGGACCCCCAGACTTTATAACAGAGTCTCAGCTTCTTTAAAGGGGCCTACTTGCACAACCAAAAGGAGCACGGACTTTTATTTTAGTTTCAATACAAGCACAGAAAGAACACGTGTCCAGGGACACAGGTAGAGGGGTCAGAGTGACTCTAAATCATACAAGTAAACCAGGACGCTCTGTTTGCTTCGATTGTTTACATCTCTTACAAGCGTTCAGCCAGCTCCACCGGGGCGTGGGTGTGTGGGCTAAGTAAAGAAGAAGAGGAGCTCTTCTTTCTCTCTGTCGTACTTGCTGTCTGTCTCCTTCCTCCGGGTCTTGTCGGCCACTGGCTCCGAGCGGTACATGAGCTTCCTGCCCGTCTGTAGAGAAAAAAAAATGTGCTAGGGCTTAGGTGGAGTCCCCAGCTGGTGACCCAGAGGCAGCTGCTATTTCCAGGTGCTGTTTGCCATGCTCTGCAAAGAGCCTATGTAGACATTTTAGGCACTGTTGTAGCTGGATAGAAATGAGAAGATCCCGTGACCTACTTCACTGCTCAAAATAGACCTGTAGAAAAATTCTGCTTGAAGTGCTCAAGAGTCAGGCCTAGGCACAATTAAAAGTCCAGTCTGCTTATTCATTGTGTTTAAAGGGCATTGGTCATCCTCGGCACCTCTGTTTTCAGGAAAATGGGATGTTTATGTTTGTGTGAAGTGCCTTCTGGAAAAAAAACCATTGGTGTTGGGAGCACCGGGCACCACCTTGTCGCCATTCTCCCAGGTCACTGGGTGGTTCACGCAGGGCACGTGCCTACAGAATAGGAGGGTTCGGAGATTTGTGGTGGGAGAGGGACTTTCACATTAGCTGAAAGGTGTTTGGGAGAAGTGAAACACAGATAAGGGAGAAAATAAGTGGCAGTTACCTAGGCAGGTGCCAGCTCAGTGCAAGGAGAAAGTTTAAACACTTGGAGCTGACAGTGTTAATGAGCCACCTAACCAGGAATTCCCAGTCTCTGGGTATTTTCAAACTGAGGTCTGTCAGAAATGTTGCAGAGGGCATTCCCACATTGAGACTCAGATTAAGCTAGGATGTCCTTGGGTCCCTTCAAATGATGATTTTTTTTTTCTGTGCCTGCAGGCTCCACAGAGCTTGCCTCCTGCAGGAGCCTTAATGGACTGGACAGTGTCAGGAGGCCCAGAGGCCTGAGAGAGCAGGGGATTGGAGCCTGGGGAGATATCCCATGTATCCTGATTTGGCAGTGGGCCTGGAGGACCCATTGCCCCGCAGGGTTCTGAAGTGTGATGGAACCTAAGACACTTGCATCTAGGGCATCCCAGCTAAGAAGTGGAGGAAAGATATTTATGATTTTACCTCTGAAAAGGAGCTGAAGCCTGTTCTTGGCTTCTGAATTCTGAAATGCTCTGTCTTGTCTGTCTGACTTTCCTCCCCCTCCCCTTCAAGTGTGACCCTCCATCCAAACAGCTGGACTGGCCCAGTGCTGCTCACACTCTCCACCCTACCTTTTTCTTGATACTCGCTTGGGCCCTGGCCAGGGCTCTCTGGAGCCGCTCCTCCTGCATCTCTCTGAGGAGTTTCATTTTCTCTTCCCTCAGCCTGCCCAATAAAAAGGACAATGATGAGAGGCGTGCTGGGACAGCCAGCCTGTGCCCACCAAACAAGCACTGGGCCACCTTGTGCAGCCATCTTGCTGAAGCCAGCCTTCTCGCAGAGACAGGGAGCCATGTTTTCATTTGGCCTTAGCCAAGTCATGTTTGTGCATCTTTGGCATCACCCTGAACCCCCTGTTAATCATGAGCCACTCGCTGTTCAATGCCCATCCTGTTCCCCCTATGGTAATGTCTGGCCTTATACAATAGTTTAAATTGAGACAGCATTGTAAGCATGTTGGCAATCGGTCACTTCCTGCTCATGAATCGGTCATGATCTGCACGGTATGATTGGAGGGGTCCTGGCTAGATGTCCCCACCATTTTATTGAAGTAAATGTCTCATTAGGGTACTGTTCAGGGCTGGTCTGGTATATTTGCTTTTTTTTTTCCCTCTTTTTAAAAAATTAATTTGATTTATCAACAATCGCTTCCACATGCTTTTGAGTTTAAAATTTTTCTTCCTCTTCCTCCCCACCACCCTCCCCAAGATGGCGTACAATCTGAGATAGGCTATGCATATATATTCCTATTAAAACATTTTCACATTAGTGATGTAAATAAGAATTAGAGCCAATAGGAGGAACCGCCAGAATGGTCTGGTATATTTGAAGTATGGGTCTGCCTTGGAGTCAGTCAGGTACTCCTCAAGGCATCACCACCACCAGTCCCAGTCATGCAGACACCAGTCCCTGTGGGTAGTGGGACCCTCCTCACCTGATGTTCACTATAAAACCTGGATCACAGGTCTCCCCCCCCCATGACAAATTTCTCTCCCCTCGGGATCTGGAAGTTTGCTATGCAGGTTTTGATCCATCAAAGTGATCAGAAGTTTAGAGATCCTTCTCCCCCAATGACCCAGTACAAGGGACAGCGGTGCAGGAGGGCCGAACTAGGAAAAAGGATTTAACTATCGATTGGCACCATGTTAAAGCCTCTCTCTGACCTTTGTCTAAGTTATGTACCAAGGTGCTATTGCTTTCCCCTTTGGGAGAAAGAGCAGTTATGTGATTGCCTTGTAGAAAGGCACCTGGGCATCTCAATCTGAAAGCTGTAATCTGGGTGAGGCCACTCCCTCCGCTCCCAAAGCAAGTATATGTCAAGTGTAAGACTTGAACCCAGGTCTTTTGACTCCAAGACCAGGCCTCTGCCCACTGCAGCGGGGGTTCTTGACCTTAGTTTATGTCACGGGCCCTCTCTCAGACACATAACAAAATATTTAAGATTATAGAAGAAACAGTATTGAAATACAGTTATAAAAAGATTTTAAAAAGCTAGTTCATGGACCCCAGGTTAAGAGGCTCTCCTCTACATCATAATGTTCCTTTATTACTTCCTTCCTCAAATCATTTAGTGAATCCTTATTTTAAAAATGAAGTTGGGAAACAGACTTTTGTTCCTTTCAAGACCAGGCAAGCTGAGCAAATCCTGACCAGGGCAGAGCTGGGGTCAGCTTCTCCAAGTTCTTAGGACTACGTGAGGGACATTCAAGTCACTAAATGTCCATTTAAGGTGCCTGCTGTGTGCGAGCCATTGTGTTTGGTGATGTTGGGGACACAAGCATCCTAAAAACTCATTCTCATGGAGCTTGCATGCTAATGGGAGGAAGCAACACGTACACAGATAATAGAAAGGCATTTTAAGAGGGAGAGAGATCTAGTAACCGGATCAGAAAAAGCCCTTTGTAACTGAGCTTTGAAAGAAGCAAGAGTTCTTAGGAATTAAAGGATGCCTCCAGGGAGAGTGGATCTGATGGGTGCCATCTCCTTGATGGTTCTGTTTTTTCTTCACATTTGCTGAAAGGCACTGATGTATCGGTGAACCCCAAATAAAGATCAGAACCAGCTGGGATAACCCTATATCACCTACTGTCACCTAGCAGAGAGCAGAGGCCCTGGAGCTGGGGGCCACCCCACCCCGTGAGGCACATTGCACCAAGAGGCAAGGGTAGATCATGGAAAGGGTCCAGAAATGAAGGTATTGCCTGTTGAGTGCCATAAAAAATAGTGAATGTGCTTTTGGGCTGGATTCATGGAAGCAGAGGATCCAGAATGAGGCAAATTATTTTCCCCCTGTCCTCTACCCTTGTTAGAATACATCAGGAATATTGTGTTCCATTCAGGGAGACATGCTACAAGGGGTATTGATGAAGCTTGTCCAGATGAGGGTTAATATGGTGGCCGTTTTTTTAGACTCAAGGCATGGTATTCGTGCCAACGAAGTCAGCCTCACCTTATCCTTCTCTCCTTTTCTTTGGCCTTCTCAACTTGTTCAATCTTCCATGCTGGGACCCTCTCCAGATTCTCTAGCAGTTCGTCCAGCTGGTGCTCAATAATGGTGAGCATCTGCAGAGTGCCCAGGCTGGACTCACAGTCCCCAGTGCAGTGGCGGTATACTTCTACTACCTTTTTGTTCAGGCTGTCCAACATCTTGTTCTAGAAGTGGGTGAGGAACAAGAAGACAAAAGGGAAAGTCACTAGGCTGTGTAGCTCCATAGGGTGAAAGATGAGGGAACCTAGATTCTTTATCAGATTCCTCCCTGATATCAGCTCCTGGATTGATCTTTTAGCTTCACTTCTCTGCTCCCACATGTTAATATGAGATTTAGCTTATTAGTGTAATTTGTATATTTTTCGAAATGACCTGGGCAGCTATGGAAATGTGGGTTGGAACATCTGTTTGCCTCATCACATTTCTCACGCCATTTGCCTGGTTTTCTTTGTCCTGAATCTCGTTTTCTCCTACTATAATCTACCTTGTATCAAACTTATTTCTATGCATCCTATCACACCTCTCTTCTTGAGCCTCCTTAACATTTCGTTTTTTGATGTCAATTCTCCATTTCTGTATCCCCTGGGCCTAGCCCTAGCTCAATGCTTTGCACTTAGTAGTTGCTAATAAATGTTTACTGAATTCCTTGTCATGCTCCTTTCTAGTTGCACACCGTTGGGAAAGTCACTTCTCTCTGGGACCTCATTTTCTGAATCTGTAAAATGAAAGAAGAACTAGATGATCTCAAGGCTTCCTTTTAGTTTATGTGTCTTAGTGCATCTAATTCAGGGGTTCACAGAATCATATGATTTCAAAATTGGAGAAGACCTCAGGAGCCAGCCAGATGGTCCGAACCATATCCAGAAAGGAACCCCCAGTACAACATGCCCAGCAAGGCTGGCAGCCTGTGGTACCTGCCAGTGTCATAGAACCAAGACCAACTGGTACCTCTCCTCACTGCCATGTCACCTGATCGATATCACTCTAATATTCTTCATGGCTTGGCTCAAGTCAGATCTCTTACTTTGATCTCTTGGAGCACTGATGGGCCAGGCCATTCATCTGGCCCATGCTCACAAATTATTTTTCAAAATGGCACTCAGCACAATGCCTTCCTTACACATCAGATAGTTTTTGGAGATTACCCATGCTATCCCATCTCACTTCACTTGTTCAGATTGCTCCAACCTTTCTTCCAGTCCCCTAGATTCTTCCTCTCCTTCATTCCCCCATATCCAATCAGTTTCTAAATCTTGTCTATTCTTTATCAATCAATAAACATTAAGTACCTACTATGTGCCAGGCACTGGGTATACAAGAGGCAAAAGAAGTCTGTCCTCAAAAAGCTCACAATCCAGTGGAGGAACTCAACAATCTATGTTGACGACATCTTCAAAATTACTTTTCCTAAAACATATTCCCCTGTTCAAAACTAGTCTGTTGCTTCCTGATGCTTCTAAGATAAAATGCAAACTTCTCAAACCTGACATTTGCAGTCCTCCAGATCCTAGATGCCCTCTGCCTTTCCAGTCTTATTGTATATGATTCATTCACATTTACATGCTTAATTCTATCAAATGGGCATACTAGCTGTTCCCCCAACAACATGCTATCCCCCATTCCAATGCCTTTGCAAGGCAGTCCTCCATACCTGAAATGTACTCCCTTCTCACATCCTCTTCTTAGAATGCTTAGCTCCCTTCAAAATGGAGATCTTGAGCCTCCTCCTACACCACACAGTTGTTAGTACCCTCTCCTGCTTTGTATATACACTTGTCTGTGTACCTGTTCTATTTTCCCTAGAGAAGGTTAGCTTCTTGAGTGCAGGGATTAATTGATTTCTGTCTTGAATCCCCACTGTCAAGCACAGTGCCTTACAGGGAATAGTTACTTAATACATGTTGGTTGTAATGAGCTGAATTCCAAGTCCTGCTGGACTCTCATCTTATACTCACTACTGACTCCACTGTTTCACCTAAAGCCAGACTTGCTCCTTCCTGGGACTGATTTAATCTCACACTTCCTGGCACCCGCCTGCTTCAGTTCTCCCCAATCCCCAATATTCTGAGCTGACTTCTCCAGCTATAGAGGCTTGGATCCCCCTTACTTCCCTTAGCCTATCACCACCCATCCCAGACCTCAGTCTACCTCACACCTTTATGTCATAGTCATGTGTGTACTTGTCCAATCTCTCCTACTAGATTTCAAGCTTTATGAGGCTGGGGATCATGTGTCATGTATCTGCAGTGTCACCTCAACATGAGTCAGTAGTAATTATGACGGCAGCCAAAAATAAGGTTAATTCAATCTTAACTATTAAGAGAAAGATTATGTACAGTACAAGGCGGAGGATCCCATGCTTTGGGTATGATATTGGGTGTGGGGTACCACAGTCCAGGAAGGATATTGACAAAGTGGAGATTGTCCAGAGGAGAATGGTGGACCTCAAGTTCATGTCATATCAGGACTGGAAATGTTTAGCCTAGGGGAGACTTTCATTTTTGAAAGACTGTCATGGAGAAGAGGGATTGTACTCGGTCCACTTGGCAAAACTGGGGCGAATAATTTTGTGCAATGAAATTCAACAAACATTCACAAGAAGGTAGTTCACTCTATGCTCAGCTGCTTCAGACGCAATAGGCCATGTGTTCATAATACAAAGATAGATACAGGCTTTGAAATTCTACTGACACCCTTTATCCTTCATTCACTAAGTAGTTAGTAGGGTATATAGTGGCTGCGATGAGGCAAATATTCGACATTCAAGAAACACATATTAAGTTCCTGAAGGGAATAGAAAGATAGATCGACAAAGCCTTGACTTGGAGGAACTGGAACAACTCCATGGGGTCACGTATCAGACAAATCACTGATACAAAGAAGTGTGAGACCAATTCAAAAGCCAGGTTCGAGCAAATCATGGGGAAAATTTTTTTTGAAGAAGCAGGAGGGTTAGGGAAGACAAGCCACACTCAAGGGTTTTGAATAGAGTTTTCAGCAAGATTACTGAGGTCAAATAAAAGCAAGGGAAATTTTGAAATTCGATTCTATTACTTCTGTAACTGCTTGCTACAAAAAAGGTTGTTGACAAAAATGGTTGCCCCACTAATCTGTTTGGACACTTTTCCTTGGTGAGAATAACGTGCAATACACAGGCACGAAGAGTGTAAGTGGAGTTACCAATGATAGTCACATGTCTGCTCTTTCTGCCTTGTTTCTCAATCTGGTTAAGCACCAACTTCTGTACTGGTGAATGGTGGTATTTAGTTGTGGAAAGTGTCATAGCCAATTTGACAATTTATTAGTCACAAAATAACAATAAATCTCTAGCTTTTACACTTCAAAAAAATTACTGAGGTCACCCCGGGCTTTGGTTACCTTAAAAATATAAAACTCAAACATCGAGCACTATTTTTGACAAATGTATTCATTCATATTCTCTTTTACTCCATCTCTGCAGATCTATTCTCTGTCTCTCTCTCTCTCTCCCCCCTCTCTCCCTCTTTCCCCATTTCCCTCTTCTCTTTTCTATTCCTCCATGTCCCTCACTAGTCAGTGGCTCCTCTAGGCATTTCTTTGTCCCTTCACAGGCCCTTGGAGGGTAAAGAAGTTTCAACCCCTTCCTCTAAAGCATGGGTTTTCCAATATTCAATTCTGGGCCTTTTGATCATCCCATGACTTTCCTGGAACAAACCAGAGCTCCCCGGACCATCTTGCAGCAACTTACCTGGTAATCGCTCTTAAACTCGCCAAAAGAGAAGACACGGGCTTTGAGTTGTAGGTCATCAGCAATCTCCTCTTCCTTAGCAATGGAGGTCCTCAGAGTGGTTGACAGCAGCTTCAGCTGGTTGACTTCTCGATCCCTGGGAGGGAGGGAGAGACAGAGACAGAGACAGAAACAGAGACAGATACCGAAAGAAATGGGAGCTCAGGGCCAAGCCTGCTCCTCTCTGGAAGGAGAGGCTATATATAGTGGAAAGAGTAATGGATTTGGAGTTAGAAGGTTTGAGTTCAAATATTCCCTTCTTTATACTACTTAAGTGACTTTGGGAAAGTCACTCATCTTCTCTGATGTTCTTAATCAAAACTTAACCTTAGTTTCCCCAATGTAATTCAACAACAAGGAATGTTTATTAAATGTATACTATGTGTAAAACATTGTGCTAGGTACCAAGGATTCAAACACAATAAAACATCCCTGTCTTTAATTTCCTTACATTCTTCTGGGGGTATACGGTATGTACATAGACGATTATATGCACCATCGTTTGAAGAGGAGAAAGCACTAATGACTGGGGTGGTGCTTGGGATTCTCAGAGGCAGAAGTGAGAAGGGAGTGCATCCTACTTATGGGAAACAGCCTGGGCAAAGGTACTGAGGTAGGAGGTGGTAGGTCATGTTTGGAGAAATAGCTAATAGGGCAGTTTGGCTGGAATTTAGAATGAAAAGATGGGGGGAGTAATAAGAAATAAGTCTGAAAAGTTAGTGAGGAGCTAGATTGTGGAGGGCTTTAAACGCCAGGCTGAATAGTTTATTTCTATCCTAGAACCAGTAGGAAGTCATTTTGAATGGGGGAAGGATTTTGAATGGGGGAGTGATATGGTAGGCCTGTACCTCAGGAATATGAATTTGGCAGCTGTGTGGAGGATGGGTTGGACGGGGAAACAGAGAGAACAGTCAGGAGGTGATCGCAATAGTCCAAGTGAGAGAGAATAAGGTAAAAAGTAGGATGGATGCTGTGTGAATGAAGGGAAAAGGTAAGTATATAAGAGATGTTGCAGAGATAGAATGGACAAGATTTAGAGTTGACTGACCATGAGAGGTGGGGAGAGGGAAGAGTTTGGTTTGGCACCAGGTTTGTAAGCCTGGGTAACTAGAAGGATGATAGTACCACCAAACATAAACAAGGAAGTTTGGAGGAGGGATGCATTGGGGAGGAAATAGATTGGATTTGGTTTTGGACATGTCTCTCTGTCTCTGTCTCCCCCCCTCAAAAGATAATGATGAACAGATTATATATAATTCAATTTAAGAGTAAGGGATGGGGACACTGAAAAGTGGGAAGATTAGACTGGTGGGACTGATACCTCAAGGGAATAGGCACACTCCCTGATCAATCCAAAATCATTGCAGCTGATTAATTGTATTGTGTACATTCCAGGTTCCAGGCACTATGTGTAGTGGTGGGCTAAAAAGACAGAAATAGTTCTTGTGTAGTCCTCAAAGAATTTATACAACACACACAACACATACACATACAAAACATACAAAATACATGTGTATACAACACACACAACACATACACATACAAAACATACAAAATACATGTGAAGTCATTGGGAAGGGATGGAAATTAGGAGAAAAAATAGGATCTGTTTGAAAAGACCATCATTCATGTTGCTGAGTTTGTCCATTCTTGAAGAGGACCATTAATGACATCAGGTAGGTGATGCCATGACATGCAAGTGAATTGGATTTAAGTGAGGGAGGGCTGTGCAAAGTCACATTCACTCTCTCCTCCGGAGCCATCTGGGTCCAGTGGTAAGGTATAGATCAGGATGACAGGAGATGGCCCTGGATGCAGTGGGAGACGTGTAGGATGTGTATGGAACTCACCAGCCCTCTTCAAGTTTTAAAGAGTATGGAGTTAGTAGTAAGGACAGAGATAGATAGAGAGAGGGACAGAGAAAAAAAGAGACAGACAGACAAAGAGAGAGAGACAGAGACAGACACAGAGACAGAGACAGAGAGAGAGCGAGAGAGAACATTCCCAGCATGGGGAACAGCCAATAAAGTGTCAAGGAGTCTAGAGATGGAGGGTCATGTGGGAGGAGCACTGAGTAAGACTAGCTGGATTGTGGAATGTGTGGAGGGGAGTGAAGACAAGAATGTTACAAAGATAGGAAGGACCAGGTTGAAAAGAGCTTCACATACCAGATAATTTGATGTTTGATCCTAGGGGAAAAGAGAGCCACTGGAGTTTACTGTGTTGGGGTATAAGCATGGGAAGTGGTAACAGTTGCAGACCTGCATTTTAGGAATATCATTTTGGCATTTGAGTGGAGGACAGATTCTAGTAGGGAGGACGTTGAGACGGAGAGACCTGGAGGCTATTACATAGTGAGAAGTGAAGGGCCTGAACTAGGTTGGTGGCTGCCTGTTAATGATGAGAAGGGGATTATGGGAGAGATGCAACAGACTAGATATATGGGAGGAATGGAAGAGTTAAGGGTGACACCTAGTTTGTGAGCCTGGGTGACTGGGGCAGGGGATGGTGGTTCCCATGACAGTAATATGAAGTTGGGAAGAGAGGAGGGTCTGATGGCAAGATTATTAGTTATGTTTTGGACCTGTTGAGTTTGGGATGCTTATAAGACACCCATTTTGAGATGTCCAAAAGGCAATTGGTGATGTGAGTCTGGAGGTCAGGAGACATTAGAGCTTAGATATATGGATCTATGGCAACTGATATCACCAAGCAAGATAGTATAGTGGGAAAAAAGAAAAGGGCCCAAGATAAAGGACAGTCATGGTTATCAGTCATGACCTGAAGGAAGATCTGGTCAAGGAGATTGAGAAGGAGCAATCAGGCAGGTAAGACAAGAACCAAAAAACTGGAAATCAGAGTTGAAATGGACATGGGAAGGTCTTTCAAACAGATGTCAGAGCTAGATGGGACAGAATGTCAGAGTTGGAAGGAACCTTAGAACATAGTTATCCCTTCTACATCATGGGGGTCAGGAGTACAGTGTTTCCGTGATCTGGAAAAATCCATGTAAAATTATTTTGGTCCTCCCTTGGCCCAGACCAGAGGAGAAGTCTGAATTATTATGATATTAAAAGACAAATATGTTTATATTATACAATACTATACATCTATTTTATTCATTTCTGGGTTTCTAAACTTTTTCTGTGTCACCTGCTGGCCTTCACTTGTTGTCTGCGGCTTCTGCAGAACTCCCCCCAAAATCCCCATTTAATTTCTTATGCCAACCCGCAATAGATTGAAAATGTGATGGGGAGAGTCACAATGTGAAACGGATAATTGTAAAATGTTATAGCTAGAAGAGCCCGTGGGGCTGATCTAGTAGCCGAACATCCTTCATTTTATAGAAGGAGGAAAACTGTGGCCCACAGATGGAAAGTTATAAGACCAAGAAAGTTCTTCCTTGTAGTAGAATGCCATTTGCTCCCCCTGGAACTTCCCTCTCCTTCTCTGCTCCCAAAGTGGTCCTAGTTTTGTCTCGGGGACCACATAGGACAAGTCTGTTCTCTCTCCTTCCTGATTGTCCTTAGCTGTTAAAAGATCATCTTCATGTCCTTTCCCTGATACCCCTACAAATATGGATCCCCTGTCCCATCCCCTGCTGGCTCTTAGTGTTCTCTTCTCTGGGCTAAGCATCCTCATCCTCTCTTTGGGGATGTTCCTGGGGAAAGGTGACTTGCCTTAGCTTATTACCGCTTGACCTACATTTTGTTCTGAGTGCTTTTTATGGAATCATTGATCTCTTCCAGGGTCTCCTCTGTCTCCTGGGAGTTCTGAATCAGAGACAGGTTCTGCTCCTCCAGCTGAGTGAAAATGTCCAGCAGCTGTTGAGGTTCTGTGAAGTACAGGTCCAGCTTCTCGGGGAAACAAAGTCTGTGGTTTATCTGTGCTCTGAGCCTCCTCCTGTTGCTAAGCACCCGGAGTGGAGGTTGTATTCTTTTTGTTATGGTCGGGGCAGGGGGATTTGGGCAGGCATGGAGGCAGAGGAACAGCAGAAGAAAGAAGGCATGGGGTTTCGATTCTGATTTCTAGGGGTTATGGGCATCCTCTGAATGCAGGTGCTCCTGACCTCCTATGTTTTGGGCAATTTGAGGGTTTTTACCCACTTCCCAATCAGTAGAGAGGGGTTTTGGTTCCCTTTAGGTCGTGAGCTTCCCATGTGGTAGAGGGACCAGGTTGTGGCTAGGATTTAGCATTCATTTGGTGGGTTAGCAGGGTGAGAGAGGAAGTCTGAAGCCATCAGGGGTCAATCCATTGCTAGGATTAGGGTCATTGTGTGATTAAGATTAGGGGGCAGGTTCACTCATCAGACTGGGTCTAGTGGCACGGTATGCTGGAATTGGAGTCAGGAAGACCTGAGTTCAAATGTGGCCTCAGACACTTACAAGCTGTGTGACCCATGGCAGGTCACTTAATTTCTGCCTCAGTTTCTTCATCTGTAAAATGGGGATAACAATAGCCCATCTCCCAGGGTTGTTGTGAGGATAAAATGAGTTAGTATTTCTAAAGCTCTTTATAAACCTTAAAATGCTATATAAAAGATAGCTATTATTATTAGAGTTTGGGTTTAGTCTATGGCCAGAGTAGGTGGATAGGTTGTGTGATGGGGATGAAGGAGCCCTCTGTGGCTAGAGTTAAGGGTCAGTCTTCGGTCAGAGCAAGAGATCACTGTGTGACAGGGCTTATAGGATCATAGATTTGGAGATGAAGTAGGTCCCTCATTCACAGATGAAAAAAAAAATTGAGGCCCAGAGGAGTTGTAACTTGCCCAAGGCTACATGTGTAGTAAGTGGCAGTCAGGATTTGAACACAGGCTCTCTGACTCCAAATTCAGCACTCCCCCCGTTTACTGCAATGGGGAAGAGAGAAGGGCAAGGGGGTCAGTTTTTGTCTGAGGTCGGTGTTTAGTTTAGGCTGTTTATTACAATAAAACTAAGTGTCCCACAGGAGTAGGATTCAAACCCTTGGCATGACTTTGGTTTCCTTAACCCTCTGTTGTACCCACAGAGCTAACTGGCAGTTCTGTGCCCCTCTGGGATGGTTTCAGGCCCTCTGACTCAAGGCCCTGGCTTGAGGTGAGTTATAGAATGAAGTTGTGGATCACTGACCTCATCATCACTGTCAGCTTCATCTGTTCTAGAAGAGAGCTCTGTAGGACTTGACCTGTCGAGAAATCGTGCCTATCAGTGGCTTCACAGAGGGATCGCTATGTCCCACATCTACATAGGAGTGGATGTTGCCCTCCAAGGATTTTCCCAGACTTAGTCTCTTAATCTGAGCTGGCTCCTCAGATTCATGTGTCCAACATGAAATTTGTCCTCTGCTCTCCTAAGCTGGTCCCTCCTCCCAACCCATCTAGCTTTGTTGAGGGGGAAGCCATGCTTCCCGTTCCCCAGGCTCTAAGCCTTGAAGCCGTCAGCATCCTTGACTCTTCCTGGCTCCCTCATACTTCATATTCAGATCATTCCCAGTCCCCTCATTCTACCACCCCCATATCTCTTGCATACATCTCTTTCTCTACTCCAAATGCCCCAACCTTAAGTTATCATCACCTCCAACAAAGACTACCATAAGGATTTCCTAGCTAATCAGCCTGTCTCCAGTCTCTCCCTGCCCTGCCCACATCTGCCAAATGAATCTTCCTAACTCCCAGGTACAACCCTGGCAGTTCCCTCCTCACAAATCTGGAGTAGTTTCTCTATTGCCTTTATGATAAAACCACAGATCTCTTCCCTCTGCAACCTACCTTTCTGGATTTATTTCATATTACTCTACATATTCTATATTTCAGCCAGACTATATTCCTAGCTATTATGTGAGCTTTTTATAACATTGCCAGCCCCTGTGAATTTCTCCAAACCATCCCCCATGCCTAGGATGCATTCTCTCCTCAGAATTATCTCTCAGAATCTATATCATCCCTTCATGGCTTAGCTCAGACGCCACCTTCTCTTCTGCCCTGCACTCAGCCCTTTCCTTCTAACCCTAACCAAAAATATTCTCACTTTTTTCTCAAATTATTCTAATGCACTTTGTTTAAGCCTTTATAATACCTTGTATTATCTATTTGTGCACACGTTGTACCTTTCAACTTTCAGAATGGAAGCTTTTTGAGAGCAGAGACCGTGTCTTTTTTTTTTTAACCTCTTTATCCCCAGGGCCTAGCACATAGGAATGGGGACAAGGCCTGTGATCTTAGTGGTACAGGGAACTCCCAGGTGAGCAAATGCCTTCTTAGCACTTACTAAACTGGCTCTTTGCTACCTTTGCAGCTCCACCAAGACCTCTACAATCCAGCCACCCTGACCCACTTGTGGCTCAAGCTTTTGCATCTGCTCTCCCCCACACCTGGGATGTTACCCCTCCTCACCTCCACCTTGTAGTTTCCCTGGCTTCCTCTCAACTCAAATGCCATCCTCTTCAGGAGGCCTTTCCTTAATTTCCCCTTCCTCTAATTCCTGCAACTGCAAATGCCTTCTCTTCTCGGATTGCTTTTGTCTGCTCTGTCTGAATCTAGTTATTTACATGCCGTTTCCTGTATTGGGATGGATGCTTCTGGAGGGCATTGCAAGGGAGCCTAGTAAATGCTTCATAAACACTCATCTACGGTCTGACCTTTGCTTCCATTTATACTTTTAGAGTATTACTTAGAGCTCTGAGAAGTTCTGTGACTGATTCCTCGTCACCACCAGTATGAGCAGGACCTAAGCCTTGGCCCTTGTGGCTTGCAGACCAGTTCACCATTATGCCACCATGACCCCACAGCTAGGATCTAATTACTGAAGTGGTTGACTTATTCATACTGGCACTATTTCCACTGACCTGCAACTATTTACCACATTTTACATAATTATAACTTTGAATAGTAAGATTCAAAGGCAAGCAACCACTCTAAAGGGGGATTTGTTATTCCCTCACTGCGTGTGCACACACTAGATGCTTAATTAACATTTATTGAATTGAATTGAGCTAAGTAACCTAAAATTTCATTACAAGACGCAGATTGCTGATGGAGCCTTCCTCCTCAGGTATGGACTGATGATCTTGAAAATCCCTTCTCACTTGGGACATTCTATAATTGTATCTATTCTATACATTCCACATAAGTGGAAGGCGGCTGAAAGGTATGTAAGTGTTGAGTATTTAACCTAGATGGATAACTCCTCCTCCTCCCTCCCAAACTTCAAAAATAGTTCTCCCTTGAAACATAGTCTAATTTATTTCTGCAGTCTGAAGATAACTGGGAACCTGTCAGCAAGTGGGCATAGGGGTTATCAGGTAATCTGGTGATGAGCACCCATATTATGCTGATTCAGAAATTCTCAAAAGAAAGAAATCAGCATGGGTTGGAATAGCTCAGGAAGGCCATTATATGCCTGGCTCTTCTCCCTAAATTCTTTTGGTTTATGTTTTCCATTGGTTGTTACGTCCCACGGCTTGGGTCGGTAATAGACCAGGGTTCTGTCTCTGGCAGGGCCATCGAGGAAGTTGTAGCTGCATCCACATCATTCATCTCAGGGTCTGGGATCTTCCCCAGACATTGCCAATTCTCACCTGAGAATTTTTTTTTTTAAATCCCATATGTAGCATGGAAAGAAATACCGAAGTAGGAGTCCGGAGACCTGGGTTCTAATCCCAGCTCCACCATGGGCACCCTTGGGTAGAGTCACTCATAACCTCCCATGACCTCTGTTTCCCCCATTTATAAAATGATAGGATTGGAGTGGATAGTTTCAAAGGCCACTATTAGCTCTGACATTTCACGTTTTAAAGTCCATTCCAGCTGGGATACTCCATGTTGTGCAGCTAGGTAGCATAATGGATAGAGTTCAGATCTCAGACGCTTCCTAGCTGTGTGACCCTGGGCAAATCCTGTAACCTCTGTTGGCCTCAGTTCCTCATCTGTAAATTGGGGATAATAATGGCACCTACCTGGCACGGTGGTTGTGAGGATCAAATGAGATCGTATTTACAAAGCACTCTACACACTTAAAGTACTATGTAAACGCGAGCTATTCTTCTGTTCTTCCAAGTTCCTTTCCCCTTTCTAACATTCTGGTTCTATGATCTTGCAGGTGATGGCCTTCCTGGGTCCAAGAGCTGCAAACTCTTTCTCTCTTTGAACTGTTGGCAGGCACAGCTGCCACAATCACGGGCAGAGGGAAGGTTTCTCTGGCATCAATGGACGCTGCCCTGTCCTGCTCAGGCAATCTCTGTGGGATTGTTTCCTTCCCGCTTTACAAAATGAGAGGGTAATGCAAGCATTGATCATCTCTTCCAGCTGTGACATTCTATGCTCCAAGGCCCTTCCTGGTCTGACATTCTACGCTCCAAGGCCCCTTCCTGGTCTGACATTCTATGCTCCAAGGCCCCTTCCTGGTCTGACATTCTATGCTCCAAGGCCCCTTCCTGGTCTGACATTCTATGCTCTAAGGCCCTTCCTGGTCTGATATTCTATGCTCTAAGGCCCCCTTCCAGCTCAGACATCTTTGTCCTAAGGCCCCTTCCCAGCTTTAACGTTCTATGTTCTGGGGTCCTTTTTGACCTAAATATTTTAGATCCCGTGTCTAAAGCTGATGTAAAACTTTGTGGTTTTGTGATATATTTTAAAAACCCTGACCTCCTCCAAACAGAGAAGTGCAGTTCAGTCCTCTTCTGCCTTTTGCCCTTTCCTCTGTAATCTCTTTAGAGTCAGGCAGGCCTAGCACTGCCTTCTACCTTTGTCCGCTCCCCCAGACCTGGCCCCATGCCCTCCTTCCAAGCTTGACTTACTCTTTCTTGCTGGGGCTCATGCTGAGCAGAGGCTGTAAATCCTGGGATGAAGACGATGTGCGGGAGGATTTGTCCTCCTTGCTAATCACTATCTCACTCGTGGATGACGAGGGGATGTTTGGGACAGGGGTGTTCAGGTTGGATGTCTCACTGCTCCTTTGGGGCTCTGGAGAGAATAGAAAGATCCCTTTGGAGGGTCCTGTCCCAGAACATTAGGCCTTTCCTCCAAACACCCCCCTTCTCTCTCCTTTTCAGCCAGACAGAGTCACTTCCTAGCTCTGACCTGTGGCTGCTCATGTCATATCTTGGAATGAGCTCCTCCTGTAACAGGCAGCATCTGAGAAGTTTCTGCCTGATCCAGAGCCTTCTCAATATCAGGCACTCTGGTATTTTTTTTCCATTCTAATTTTTTAAATAATTTTTATTAATTTATTTTGATTTATCAACAATCACTTCCATAAACTTTTGAGTTTTAAATTTTTCTCCCCCTCCCTCCCAAAGATGGCATGCAATCTGATATAGGCTCTACATATACATTCCTATTAAACATATTTATTATGAACCAATTTATTAAAACTAATAGGAGGAACCACAAGAAAGAGAAAACAAAACACAACAGAAGGAAAAAAAAAGCAAATAGTATGCTTTGGTCTGCATTCAGACTCCATAGTTCTTTCTTTGGATGTGGATAGCATTTTTCATCATGAGGCCTTTGGAGATGTCTTAGATCCTTGCATTGCTAAGAAGGGCTAAGTTTATTAACGTTAGTCATCAAACAAAGTGGTTGTCACGATGTTCTCCTGGTTCTGCTCACTTCACTCAGCATCAGACCATACAAGTCTGTCCAGGTTTTTCTGAAGTCAGCCTGTTCATCATTTCTTCTAGCACAATAGCATTCCATTACATTCATATACCACAACTTGTTCAGCCATTCTCCAATTGATGGGCATCCTCTCAATTTCCAATTCTTTGCCACCACAAAAAGAGCTGCTATAAATATTTTTGTACATGTGGGTCCTTTTCCCATTTGTATGATCTCTTTGGGGTATAGCCCTAGAAGTGCTATTGCTGGGTCAAAGGGTATGCACATTTTTATAGCCCTTTGGGCATAGTTCCAAATTGCTCTCCAAAATGGTTGGATCATTTCACAACTCCACCAACAATGCAATAGTGTTCCAATTTTTCCACATCTTCTCCAACATTCATCATTTTCCTGTTTTGTCATGTTGACCAACCTGATGAGTGTGATGTGGTACCTCAGAGTTGTTTTGATTTGCATTTCTCTAATCAGTAATGATTTAGAGCATTTTTTCATATGACTATAGATGGCTTTAATTTCTTCATCTGGGAACTGCCTGTTCATATCCTTTGACCATTTATCAATTAGGGAATGACTTGTATTCTTATAAATTTGACTTAGTTCTCTATATATTTTTGAAATGAGGCCCTTAGACCTCATAGAGACATTGGTTGTAAAATTTCTTTCCCAGTTTTCTACTTCCCTTCTAATCTTGGTTGCATTGGCTTTGTTTATGCAAAAACTTATCAATTTAATGTAATCAAAATGATCCATTTTGCATTTTGTAATGTTCCCTATCTTCTGTTTGGTCATGAATTCTTCTGTTCTCCATAAATCTTTTTGCTCTCCCAGTTTGCTTACAGTAGCTTTTATATCTAAATCATGAACCCATTTTGACTTTATTTTGGTATATGGTGTGAGATTTTGGTCTATGCCTAGTTTCTGCCATACTCTTTTCCAGTTTTCAGTGAAACCCCAGGCATTCTGGTATTGCAGAAAGCATTATGGGAGTCAGGAGACATGAGTTCTAGTCCCAGCTTTCTCACTAACAAACTGTGTGCCCTTAGATGAGTTACTTTCCCTCTTTGGGTCCCTGTAAAATGTAGGGATTAGACCAGACGCTCTCTTAGATTCCTTCTAGCCCAAATAGTCCACAGATCTGATTCTGAGACAGCTTATTTATGTCTGGACGGATGCTCCAATGTGTCTGTCTTGGACTACTGAGTTCTTGCCTGTCCTCTCTTGTGTTTGATTATTGAACATGATCTCCCTAAGGGCAGAGACTGTCTCACTTTAGTTGTATCCCCATCACCTGTCACAGTATCTGGCATATAACAAGAGCTTATTAATTGAAAGGTTGCTAGTTGTGGGCCTTTGGGTAATGATTCTACCTGCTTGGATTCTGACCTTCTGCCTGCCTTGGGCTCAGGTGACTTCCCATCTGTTGGGAAGGCTCTGTTTTACTGATGCCCAAAGTCTGACCAGGTATGACCCAACAGGTAGGGGCTTTGTGAATCGTAGGGATGGAGAGGCAACATTTATACAGTCCCTCTCAGACTCAACCCCTTGGTCTCCCCCTCCTTCCTCCTGTTACCTTTTTCTGTGGGCAAAAATGGAATATTTTCTTTTTGTTGGTCTAATGTCATCCTGGCAGCAGCATGGGCCAAATGCTTCCTGGCATGGGTCATCAGCCAATCCTTGGGGGACACCTTATAGAGGAAATCCTTATAGATTTTGAAAATCTGGACATTGTCTTCAAACTTGGAGATCTCGCTGGGCCGGGATTCAAAGAAGAGATATTGTAAAAGTTAAGCCAATGGTACCAGGTTCCCCAACCCATCTATTCCTCACATTCCTATTTCTAATCCTCCCAGAATATTAAAAGTGTTAACGTTCACAGAGATCACCTAGCCCAGACCCCCTTATTTGACCAAGGAATGGGGAACAGAGTCACCCAAGATCACACAGTTAGTTAGGGGCAGAGCCAGAATTTGTTGTAATGGAAAAGATGCTGAATTTGGGAATCATAGAATCTGAGTTTGAATTCCATTTCTTGCATTTTTCACTTGTGTGATCTCAGGCAAATTGCTAAACCACTCTGGGCTTCTGTCTCGTCATCTGTAAAATAATGGAGTTGGTCTAAACCAGGGGTTCCCAAACTTCTTTGGCCTACCATCCCCTTTTTAAAAAAAAAATTACCTAACAGCCCCTGGAAGTCTACTTTCTTTAGCCCTTTAATGGTTTTTTTTTTTAAATTTTTGTCATTTCAAAAAATGTAATTTAAAAAAAAGATGCATCTTAAATTTAATAATTTATTATAAATTTGTGGATTTTTTCCCCTGCATTGAAATTTTGATGATACAATATTGTACCATATAACTAACTGTATAGCATAGTATTGTAAACAAGTCATTATAAGCACATGTTCCTGCTGATGCATGCTGGACTTCTTGATAAGGTGCGACATGCTCGCCTACCAACACTTGCTTGTTAAGACCTGTCGGTGAACTTGATCACTGATTAGTTATAACTTGCATTTTGTATGTTTATTTGGAAAATAATTTAATCACTACAACTTTAAGTCTGTTATGCAACAGATGAAATGTGTACGAACGGTTTTTCAAAATTTTCTTATTTTCTCTTCTTTTCATATGCTTTTTTTCCATATGCAATTGCACCCGAGGCCACTACCAACCCCCCTGGATCATACCAGTGCCTCCCAGAAGGTGGTATCGCCCACTTTGGGAATCTATGGTCTAGACCAAAGATGGGGAACCTGAGGCCTTTTGACTGAGTCCAAGTTTTACAGAACACATTCTTTTATTAAGGGGATTTGTTCTGTGAAGTTTGGGTTCAATCAAAGGGCCACACTTGAGGACCTGGAGAACCACATAAGGCCTCAAGGCTGCAGGTTCCCCATCTCTGGTCTAGATGATCTCTAAAGTACTTTATAGCTCTTGTTCAATGAACTTGTGATCCTAAGTGAGTCTCATGAGTTCTGGACCATCTCCACTCTTCTTCCTTTTTTTTTTTTAGGCAGTTGGGGTTAAGTGACTTGCCCAGGGTCACACAACTAGAAAGTGTCAAGTGTTTGGTCTGAGACCAGATTTCAACTCAGGTCCTCCTGATTTCAGGGCCAGTGCTCTATTCACTGCGCCACCTAGCTGCCCCCATCCGCTCTTCTTCCTATGGCTAATAAAGTCTGCCCTCATCTCTTCCCATTTCTTTCATTCCATCCTTTTTTCCTACTTTTCTACCCCTTTCCTTTCTTTAAAAAAATTAGAGAGGTAGTAGATCAGTAGAAAGACTGGGTATAATAATAAATAATAATAATAATAACAATATTTACATAAGCCAGGCACCATACTAAGTGCTTCATAAATATTATCTCATTTGATCTTTGCAACAACTGTGGGAGGCAGGTGCTACTATTATTCCCATTTTACAGATGAGGAAACTGAGGCAAACAGGAGTTAAATGGCTTGACCAGGATTGAACAGCTAGTAAGTGTCTGAGACCATATTTGAACTCAGGTCTTCCTGATTCCGAGCCCAGCACTCTATCTACTATACTACCTATCCACCTAAAATGACCTTGAGAGGTCAACTGGATCATTTCCATACTTCCTACTTAGGTTGAACAGGATTCTATTTGGGAAATGCCTTCTAAAGAAGTAGGAGGCAGCTAGGTGGTGCAGTGGATAGAGCACTAGCCCTGGAGTTAGGAGGACCTGAGTTCAAATTTGGTACAAGATGGTTACTGGCTGTATGACCCTGGGCAAGTCACTCAACCCTGATTGCCTCTGGGGGCAGGAAGAAAGTAGGGAAGCTTCCCAACGTTTTTCCCCTCTATTGACTGAAGTCCTAGGATGATTAATAATAACAATAACCATATAAATATATATGATTAATAATAACATCATAATCAATTAATAATTAATAATAACATAACAACAAATAATAAATAATAACAATAGCCATATAATCATATAATTATATACGATTAATAATAACAATAACAAAAATAATAATAACAATAATAGTAGTAGCTAGCATTTATAAAGTGGTTTACCATTTGCAAAGAGCTTTTCATACATTATTTCATTTGACAGATGGTCTAGTCCTAGCTTTGCTGCTATGTTGCTGTGTAACCATGATTAAATCCCTACAGCACTCAGGCCTCAATTTTCCCATCTGTCACATGGGGATAAGTAGCTGCACCCTGGCTACCTCACTTCGTTGGGATCCCTTGGAGTCACTAGAGCAGGGGAATGGTGTTTTAGGAAAGTTGGCCTGGAGTGGGGAAAGAGTAATTTCTCTGAGCCTCAGTTTCCTCCTTTGTAAAACAAAGCACAACAGAAGCATAAATCTAGTGCTAGAAGGGATCTTAGAGGTCATCCAGTCCAACTCCCTCAAAGGAAGAAAATGAGACCCAGGGAGCTTAAATTACCTGCTCAAAGTCACACAGTAAAACAAGCAGGATTTGAACCCAGGTCCTCTGATTCTCAATCCAGGTCTTTTTCCACTGTACCCGAAGAGATGATCCCCACAATACATTTCAGCCCTCAGTCTTACAATTCTGTGCCCCTAAGATGAACAAAGAGGCTTTTCCCCTAATGCGATGCCTTTTCTGACTCTCTCTGGAAGGGAAGTGGGGAAACTGTCACCTTTTCACCATTAAGATTTGTGCTGTGATATCTCGGATTTCAATGATCTTCTCCATCTTCGCCTTGGCCTCCTTTTCAGCTCTACAACAGAAGGAAGACATGTTATAAGAGGTAGCCAGACCACCAGCTAGTCAGTCTCATCAGCAGCAGACCCAGTCTAAATTAAAGAATAAATTCCCTTGGAGAAAAAGTTCAGTCTAAAGAAAAAAGAAAGTTCCATCTAGAAAGATTAGGCAACAGTCGTCCATATTCGCTTTTTTTTTGGCCTAAGTGAAGAGAGAGGGTCAAAATTTTGGAATGCAGGAAATTGAAGGTGCCTAGAGAGGTCAGTTGGTCCATTCCCATGCCTTCTGCTTAGGGTGAAGAGGTTTCTGCTTGGGAAATGCCTTCTAAAGAGGCTTAATAATGTTTTCCCTTCTAACAACTGAAATCCTATTTATCCTTCAAGGCCCAGCTCTAGTTCTGCTTGCTTCAGAAAGTTTTCCTTGACAATCATAGCTCACAATGGCTATCCTTCCTCTGGACTCTTCTAGCACTGATTTAATCCAGTCTAGCACTAAATTATAGCCTGTCTTTAATGGATGTGTATTTTTCCTCCCTCCTACTTAACGATCTGCATCACCTTTGACAAGCCACTTCCCCTGGTGTAGGCCTCAATTTTTTCATCTCTAGAATGAAGGAATTGTTCAGAGGTGTCAGACTCGAAGCTGGGACACAAACAGCCCTGAACCAGATTAAAATGCCACTGGGAAATGTTTAACAAAACAAACAAAAATGCAGTACAACATAGATAATGTTAATTTGTGGTTTTCTAAGTCAGTAGGTGGCACCCTGGATCGGTTTCTGTTTGAGTTTGACACCACTGATTTGGAGGATTTCCAGTTCTTGGTCTTGTGAAAAACCTACTGCCTTGGAAGCTGCTGGAAGGCAGAAGTAGTTTCTAATTTCTAGAGCTCTGCATGTAGTAGGCATATGTAAATACTTGGTTAGTGGGTTGGCACAAGAATCTCTCTGTCCCATAAGGTATAAAGCTCATTACAATTAATAGCCACTCATATTTCTCTAGTGCTCAATTTACAAAACGCTTTCCTCACAACCATCCTGTGGGTAAATAGAGGCCAACACAGGTAAAAGAGACTTGCCCAAGTCCAGTGCTCTTTCCATTATACCACAATCCTTCTTCTTACCACAAGTTTGAGAGCCCAAGTCAACCAGTTACCCTGGGCAGGCCACTCATCCTCTCTGCGCATCAGTTTCCCCATCTGTAGAATGAGTGGGTTGACTAGATGACACCCAAAGTCTCTTCCATTTCTGGAATGATGAATCCCATGATTCTAAGTCACATCAATTCTCTGGGTCTCCACCAGTTTCCTTGTCCATTAGATGAAGAGGTTGGACTGTGTACCATGTAAGGTCCCTTCCAGTTCTAGCTATATGATCCCATGGTCCATGCTACTCCTTCCATGCTCCATCTGTGGACCCTGTTTGAGTATTCCTTCCATTAATTTCTCATCCATCTTCTTTCATGCTATGAACAAGATCTACCCAATGAGTCACAGGACTTCCTTTCTCTGGGTCTGTTTACATTTTGAGAGTACCCAAATGTTTTCCCAGCAATGCACATCTTAAAATGTGCAATTCTGAGGAATTAAAAGTTTTGAATAACCAACAGTCAATGGAGAAATACATGGTAGCTGCAAGGGGATGACAGCACATTTCCAATGATGACATATTTGAGGGCATCCTATGCATATGGATATCAGGGAGGAAACAAGTTTGGAAAAGGAGATGGGCTGGTCAAATGATGTGGTCGAAGAAATAATTGATGGGTAGCCTGTGTTCTCCATTGATATCTTCAAAATGTAGAAACAATGGAAATTGGCTATCACACCAAGTCTAAACTTTCTGTCCTGTTCTATTTAAGGATCCCTATGGTCTAACTTCAATTTGGACTCTTCTCAAACACGTATCTTCCACTTCAGCCACGCCTAGCTCTTCACTGTCTTTGCCTTGGCCTTGGTAATTCCTAGACCCCATAGCAGACCTGAACATGAAGCTAGGTTTGTGTTCAATATGCTGGCTAAACTTATGGTCAACCCAAGGTTGACTGATCCACCAAATACTAGAAAAAGCTACCTGCTGGCAGGAACTAATGAAGGCCCACTTGCTAGGTGGGCCATGGCGGGTCTTAAAGGGCCATAATTTGGAGAATGAAAAGAGCATGGACTTGGCCTTTGTAAAATGGTAGCCCAAGAACAGACATGTTACATTCGGGAGAGGGAATGGAGAGTTATCTTCAATTAATGTTGTATCTTCACATTTGGCTGGGCAGGAGTTGGTTTAAAAGGGCCAAGTAGTGGCTACTCTTCCTAGAACCAGCCTTCAAGCTTAGTGCTTGAGGGCTAGGGGATGGGCTAGATGACCTCTTAAGTTTCCCTTATCTTCTAGGATTATAAGGGGAAGGGGGGGGGTCTTATTGGTAAGACCTCTAACCCATGTGGTTAGGTTCCTCTAGGACAATGGCTATGAATACCCAGGATTTTTGGTGACCTTTGGCATGTGTTTGTGCATCAGTGAAGCTGAAACTAAAGTCAGGATTAAGGTTTTAGTATTAGAGATTGAGTTAGGATTTAAAGGTAGGATTAGGGTTTTTAGTAAAGGGAATAGAGGGGATTATGGCTTTAGGGTCAGTTTTTCATACAGTGCTTGCTAGTGTTTGGGTTTAGGGTTAGATAAAGGTACAGGCCCCAGTTTAAGGCTTCATTAGGTGCTTATAGAAAGATCCAAGACCTAAAAGTATGGCCCCATTTCATTGGGGCATTAAATCTGGGTTTATGGACACTGCTGTAGAGGTGCACAGTACATGGTCCTCCTTTGCCCTGTGAATGGAATACTTTTCCTGGACTGATACCATTAGGGTGTAGTGGGAGGCCAGGTTCTCCCCCTTCTCCCCTCTATGCAATGATTTATGGAGGTTTTCACTCTGTGGGTTTCTGTGGCTCAGCCTCTAGGCTACAGGATAGTTTTTGATCCTCAGTTACTGAGTATAACCATTGGATCTAGAGAGTTAAGGTTGGGGGACATCATTTTGCCCCAGTGATACTCATCAGTTGCCCCTCCACTGTCCTCATGGGCCTTGCCCCCAGGGCAGCAACTTCCCCCCCTTGGTTTACATTCTCATGGCCTGCACGGAGTTCCGATCGTTCTCCTTCAGGAACTCATCAAACAGAGTCGCGTCCTTCTCGAGGAACTTTTCTGCCTTCTCCAGCTTCATCTCTTCCTTGGTGGCCAACATTTCCAGCCTCAGGATCTCCTCTCTCTTCACCTCCAGGGCATACTAAGGGCCAACAAACCACACCTTGGGGACACAGTTCTAAGGGCTCTCCATGTCCTCCCCAGTCTTGGCCTCAGCAACATACCCAGGGTGCACCCTAGATCTTGTGGGAAAGGGAGCATGATGGAAGAGGAGGGGGGAGGGAACAAAAATAGAAAGAAAGAAGGATGGGGAGAAACTGTGAGTATAAGAAGGAAGGTTGTTGTGTTTGTCCTTCGTTCTTGAAGAGGACCGTGACATCAGGGAGGTGATGACCTGACTTGTAATTCACTTTGATTTGAGAGAGAGGGCTGTGCAAGGTCACCAGTCTCACTTTCTCCTCCAGAGCTATCTGGGACCAGTAGCCAGATATTCATCAGGACAACTGGAGATGGCCCAGGATGCAATGGGAGACCCTGATCCTTTTAAGCTAAGGTCTTTTCAGGTTCTCACTTTGAGTGAGGCAACACCCACTCAGTGAACAGGTCTCTTTAAGAGGTGAGTCAAGGGATGGCCCCTTTAATAAAAAAAAAAAAGCAAACTGGGAGGGGAAGACCCTCAGGGCTGCTGGCCAAAGGAGAAACAGCTACTATTTACATTCACTCTGGGCCAGGAGGGCCCAAAAAATAGCCATTAAGTGGTGCTTGGGCAAGGACCTATTGTTGTCCAATGTATGAGCTCCAGAGTGGGTTTAAGGTTTGGTCTTTGAGAGAGAAATCTAGCCAGTAAACCCCAAGTTGAGTAGGCAGTTTTCAGTCATCAAAATTTACCTTCCTTTGGGCAGAACACCCTCAGGTAAGGGAAGAAGAGAGGGGAAGTGAAGGAGGGGAGGGGAGGGCAGAGAAGAGGAGAGAGGAAGGAAGGAGGGAAGAAGGGAGGGAAGGAGGGGAGGAAGGGAGGGAGGAAGGAAGGAAGGAAGGGAGGGAGGAAGGAAGGAAGGAAGGAAGGAAGGAAGGAAGGAAGGAAGGAAGGAAGGAAGGAAGGAAGGAAGGAAGGAAGGAAGGAAGGAAGGACCAAGGAAGAATATGCCTTTCTTCACCCATCAGACTCCATCTACCATTTCTGTGCTGACCTGCATACCTGGAATACATTCTCTCCTAATTCTCTCTTCTCAGAATCCTCCACCTGCCTTCAGAGCTCAAGTATAGCCTCACTTTCTCCAGGAGCCCTTTCCTCATTCTTCCAGCTTCTGGGGTCTCCACCCTCCCCACATTACCCCTTATTGATTTTCTATATTCTTCTCTGGGAAAGGGCAAACAGTGCTGGATTTTTGTGTTTGTATTCTTGCTGCCTAACAGCACCTGACAAATACTTATTAATGAATTGACTAGCCCTGTAGAAGGTACCTGGAAGGTCTCTGAGGGCCCTTCCGGCTGTAATTTCTGTCACCTATGCTCAACCTCCTCTCACATTCAGGGCCTGCCTGTAGCCAGAATATAAAAGCAGGAAGAAAGAGGGATTCCCTGCTGGTGCTGGAGCCCCATTTGTAAGATGGCATCTGTGTATCATCTTGTGCTGGAGAAAGGAAGGAGAATCAGAGCTAGTAGCTGGCATTTAGCTGGCGTTTATGTATGTTACTTTATTTGAACTTCATGACAATCCTGGGAGGTAGGTGCTACTATTATCCCCATTTTACAGAAGAGGAAACTGAGGCAGAGAGAAGTTAAATGAACTTGCCTTGACATGCCTTCTGAACCCTTCCCTGTTCTCTCTGGCATGTCTGTGTCAAAGGTCACAGGACTCAGAAAGAAGTATCAGCATTAAGGAGAAAGACCACCCCTCTATTCTCACAGGTAAGATGGAGGTGATCCAATACCTGGCTTAACATTTTCAGGAGCCAAAGTGGGAATGACTCCCACCACGTGTAAGAGGGGATGGCTCAAACCCTTGAGAGCAGGGGTCTGCTAATCCCTCAGGCTGATGCAGCTTTCCCACTGCCTGACCCTATCTTTGATCCCTACTCATGTCCCATGGTAGGGAGTGGGGAGGAGAGGAGAGACATTGACCGTGAAATCTTAGGCTAAAGAGTCACAGGCTTTCAAGCCTGGAGTAGGGGGTAGGGCGGAGTCAGAAATGACTTTGGAGATAATCTACTCCAATCTCTTCATTTTGTAGATTAGAAGACTGAGACACAGAGGGGTTAAGCCCTTAAACAAGGCCACTCGGGAAAGAAGAGCTGATTTTGAATTTAGTTCCCACTGGAAAGCATCATGGTATAGGAGAAAGAACATGGGCTAGGGAGTCAGAGGTCAAGGGGTCAAGACCTGCCTCTAGAAATACTTGCATGATATTGGGTGGGTTAGTTAATCTCACGGGACCTCAGTTTCCCCAAGTGTAAAATGAGGGAGGGGGGGATGGAGTCGATGTCTTCTGAGGACCCTAGATCTATGATCTTCTCTGACCCCAAAGCTAGTAAGTAGACTTTTGTACGACCAATGATGGTACCAGTTAGAATGTGTTTTATTCTTGGCAAACTGGGGAAACAGTAGGATTGCCCTTGATTAGCCAGCTTTTGTGAGGGAGGAAGGGAACCTGCCACTGTGTGCCTACAAGTTTCTTAAAGTAGAATTCCTGGAGATTTTCAACCATTTATTGAAATGGCTCTTAGCTCAGGCTAGCCCTCAGTGAGAAGGACAGAAAGGGAAACCCTTAAATAGAAAAAAATGATAATAAAGGTGATAATAATGGCCAGAAATTATATAGCACTTTAAGGTTGCACATACACTATCTCATTTGGTCCTCACAATAACCCTATGGGATAGAAGGTATTATTACCCTCATTTTACATATGGGGAAACTGAGGCTGGGAGAGGTTAAATGACTTGCCCAGAGTCACACAACTAGTGAATGTTTGAGGCAGGATTTGAACTTAGGTCTTTTGACTCTTAAGTCCAGCACTGTCCACTGGGCTACCTAAGTTATATAGATGGGTAGGCAGCACTGGCTAAGAGACCAGCAAGTTATGTGATATAGCCCTTCAGTTGTTCAGTACTAATGATAAAAAAGAAAAAAATGAAAAGAAAGTAAATGATTGACAGTGGAGCTAGGAAGGATAGACTCTGATAGGCTTGGGTTCAAACAGCATCATCCACTGTCATATGTGTAGAAGAAGAGAGGGCAGCTACCCATGCCCTTCCAGGCATTAGCCAGTGTCTCCCAGGGGTACACACAAAGACTGGGTTACCCTCTCACCTCTTTCCCTTGGGGGAAGAAATGAAGAGAATGGTCCCTAGAAGGGGAGAATTTTGATAGCTTTGCAAAGATGTCAGGGGAGCTGAGAGATGTCAGGGAACAGAGGCCGCAGCTGTGGACAGCATCCCTGGGGAAGTGCTCAGCCTCTCTGTCATGCTGGTGTTCATAAAGGAAAGCTGGGGGTAGAATGGGGTCCCTGCTGATATTGGACACTAGCTTCATGATATGATTTGTGTTGGAGGAGGCAGAGAGGAAACATAGGACTGGGCATAGGATGATGCGGTTGTAGGGCTCAGGGGCTCCTGGATGGCTTTTCTTACATGTCTCTGAGTCTATCTCTCCGCTTCCCCTTGCCCCATTCTCTTGATGTTTCTTGGGAGAGTTCTGAGTGGCCCAAGGCCCAAGGCCCAAGAACACTAAAGGATTAAGAAGCTCTAACTCCGCCAAGGGGGTACCAGAGGTAGCTGTTTTCCTCTATGGTATATTCAGGGACCTTTTCTCTTCTCTAGAGCACAGACATTTCAGGCATCTTGGGATCTTAGCACAAGTCAGTAAGGGGACAGGGGAGAAAAGAGGGTGAAGGAGAAGGCAAGGAGGGAGGAGGCAAGGAGAGAAGAAGAGCAGAGGTTTGGGAAAACAAAACGAGAAGAGGAAAGGGCAAGTTTGCCTTTCGAATAAGGGGTGAGAACTGAAGCTGCCAGAAGACTTTGAAGAAGCCAGGCCAAGAGCACCCTTCCCATTTTCCTCATGCGTCCCCTTTCTGTGTCCCAATCTGCTTTCCACACGTCGTTTTAAGCCCTGTCACCACTGAAGAAACCACCAAGCTCCAGAAACAAACTCATTCTACTCAAGGGGACTGGCAAAGGCGATTCCTTGGGAATCTCCCCTCCCTTCCAGCCTGCCCCCTTCACCAATACCAGATGTCTCCCTGCTCAGACTCCAGTACACGGGGGCATTCACGTCTCAATATCTGGGAGGGTGAAGAGGCAAGTGAGGCCTATCCCTCCATAACATCCCCTGGGCCCCAGCCCCTTGATCCATCCTACTGGTCTCTTTGAGAACATTAGGGACACTTTTGTGGTGGGGTATTTAGGAGAGCCATATTGGAAATTGGTGTTAAGGGAGTTGGACTGTCCATTCTGGGGACTCTGTCCACAGGGAAGGTACCTGGATCAGAAACATTTGTCTCTTCTTTTCGATGTAGCTAGCCAAGTTCTCTCTCTCAATTTTCTTATCTGCAATGACAGAAAGATCTTAAGACTTAGAGACAGAAGGGACTTTAGAAGTCATTTGGCCCAACATCCTTTACATTCAGAGGCCCTCCCAAGACTGTCCCCAAAGCCCCACTATACCACACCACTGTCCCTACTCTCTCCACCCCCTTGGTCCATCCTTCACACCCCAGCAAGACAAGCCTTTCTCATAAATACATTTGGCCCTGATGCTTTACTCAGAAGATCTTCAGTATATTCCTAGTGCTGGTGGATTAAAATTCAAACTCAGCCTTAAACTTCAAAGCCACCCCCATTCTGGTGCTGCCCTCCCTACCTTTCAAGGCAGTAGAGTTCAGTGAAAAAAAAAAAAGAGGGGATCAGGGCTAAACTTGAAGTCAAGCAATCTGGGTTTGACTTCCACTTCTGACCGTAGCAGTCATTTTGATCTTTCTGAGCTTCAGTTTCCCCATCTGGAAAAGGGGGGGCAATAATCTTTACAATATCTACCTCCCAGGGTTACTGTGAAGAAAACACTTTATAAACTAGAGGCAGCTAGGTGGCGCCATAGTGCACAGAGTGCTGGGCCTAGAGTCAGGAAGACAAGTTCAAATGTAGCTGCGACACTACCCGATTGTGTGACCCTGGGCAAGTCACTAAGTTTCAGTTTCCTCAAACTGTAAAATGAGGATAATAATAGCACCTATCTACTTGCCCTTTTATAAAGATATCTTCTACCTGTCCTCACTGTTGTGAGGATAAAATGAGTTAATATTCATGAAGTGCTTTGCACAGTGCTGGGAACATAGTAGGTGCTGTATAAACGCTAGCTCTTTCATATTATTAAGCTGCAAAAGTGTAGTAAAATGTGAGTTTTACTTTTACTTCTACCGTCCGGGGGGCGGGGGGGGGGGTGTTATGTGATCGCTCATCCTGAGGGTGTTCTGATAATGTTTCATTCTGTGTAACCATTACCATCTTCCAAAGTGCTGGAGGCCATCCTCTGGGTATTTTAAAAAATGCTTTCTTGATAATAGTAGAGGTTAAATATAATTATTAACTTATATTTCTTCCTTCTGTGTACTTTAATCTCTATCCGGTCAGCTCTGAAAATCCCTTGCTGTCTTCCATATTTCTTCTCATATTGTTCCTTTTGTCTGGGGTGCTTTTTCTCTCTAATTATTTCTCTCTCTTATTCCTACCAGTCCTTTAGAGTCTCCCAAAGTCAGTCCATGTAAGTTCCCTGTCAGTGATTTCATATAAGTCAAGTCAACAAGCATTTATTAAGCACCTATTGTATGCCAGGTACCTCTCCTGAGTCCTAATTGGCAAATTTGGCCTTGGGGCAAGCAGTATGAAATGCATCCTCAAATCAACCTTTTAAGACAAATTAATTTGAGTAGGAAGGTGGATGAGAGACCCCAAAAGGCTGCTGTGAGAATGAGCTGAAGAGGGCAGGGCTGGGCCAGGGAAGATGTCAGCTGGAATGTGGCTGTGGTGGGCATGGGTAGAAGGTGGAGGATTGTTTTTCTTTACATTTTTTTTTCTCTTGGTATCTTTGACTTTTACATAACCTGCCTTTTCCGATATATTCCTTCCTCCTCCCTCCCCAGAGAGTCACCCCTTATAAAAAAGAATTTAGAAAAGAGAAATGAAAAACAGCTTAGCCACACCAGCCAACACATTTACCAAGTTCAATGTTATAGGTAATGTTCCACACTGGTAGCTCCCTATCTCTGAAAGAAGAGAGAGATGCATTCTTTTTTTTTTTTTTGCATTTTGGTGAGGCATTCGGGGTTAAGTGACTTGCCCAGGGTCACACAGCTACTAAGTGTCAAGTGGAGAGATGCATTCTTCTGCCTCTTCTTTGGGACCAAGCTTGGTCATTGCAATTTCACAGCTTGTGGTTATGTTCTGTGGTTCTTTCTCTTTGCAACACTATGGCGATTATGTAGATTATATCTTGGATCTCAGTCCATGTAAATCTTCTCATGCTTCTCTGTTGTCTTTATAGTCATCATTGGTTACAGCGTAGCAATATTCTGTTACATTCATCTACCACTGCTCTAGTCTTTCCCCAGTCAATGGGCATCTGTGTTTTCTTTCCAGTTCTTTGCTGCTTCTAGGAACATTTTAGTGTTTATAGGATATTGTGGATGCCTCTGAATTGGATTGTTCTTGCTAAGTAGATGCCAAATTCAGTTGTTTCTTAGCTGCTAGTGGTATACAAGTATTCTGGCCCTGGATTCTGAGGTCCAGGCTTCCAGGAACCAGAGTCAGTCTTAGGACTTCTCACATACATCATTCCTTGGCTTGTGCCCCAACTTAGGGTGTCCCAAGAAAATGTTAACAGTATCCCTCTTCCCATAGACCCTAAGAAGAGATATAAGATGACAATTCCCCTCAGAAGTGGGAGCTCTACGGATGTGGATCATTGCATATATTTTTAGATTTTTTTGATGTATTGATTGGTTTTTCTGATTTTTTTCTCTTTTTCTTTGAAGAATATTTGTTATATGGGATGGCTGATGGGGGATAAGGGAGGAATTGGGGAAAATTTAAACAATGTAAAGAAACCAGAGATTTTAATAAATTTTTTTTTAAAAAGGATATAGATTGCATCTAAGTCACTATAGCTATAGGTTAAAAGATCCCTCTCAACTTGTGTACAAGCACTCAAGTTAACTACATATATAAGATACAGAAGAGCCTTTATTTCAAACATAGAAATAATGGGAAAAAACCCCAAGGCTTCACAAGTATCCATGAAGAGTCGAGACCATTCTTCTACCATCTCTGGTCCATCTCACTTTGCTCTTGTGGCTACAAATATAGTTCTCCAGACTCATAATACTATTCTGTGGTTGAGATTTCCCCAGAAGGGAATCACATTTCATGCCAATAGAGAGATGGCTCACTTTTCTCTGTTGAGCCCCACCATCCCCTAGGGACCTATGTGATTTTCTAGACTTATAGTACTACCATAGGGTTTGGGGGCTCCCTGAAAAAGAATTTTGTACTTGGTACTGAAAGTGAGCCACCATCCCTCTTCCCATCATCCCTGCACAGTCCACTTAACTCACAACAATACTCACACGTGAGCAAAGTCCTGGCTGGTTATTTTACACCATGACTCAGTCCATTGCTGATCATCCAGTTCTGAGGCCTCTTGCTTGTTCCTCTCCTCTCCAGAAAAGGAATTTGGTATTATCCAGGATAGGTCCCTCTTCCTCTTCCAGAAGGTTGAGACAAGTACTTTGACATTGACCAGGAACTTGGTATTAGCCGAGAAATTTCCCCTTCTTTCTTCCAACAAGATATTTCACATTATCTTCTATTTTTCAGTCTTTTGACTTTGTTTTATTGTTTCCTGTTGTCTCATGAAGTCATTAACTTCCATTTAACCGATACAAGTTTTTAAGGAGTTATATCTAGTTTTTTTGTGTGTCTCTTTTACCAAGCTGTTAATTCTCTTCTCAAAATTTTCTTGCACTACTCATCTCTTTTCCCAATTTTTCCTCTATCTTATTTGATTTTCAAAATCCTTTTCAAAAAGCTCTTCTAGGAATTCTTGCTGGGCTTGTGTCCAATCTGCCTTTTGTTTTAAGGTTTTATTTATAGGTGTTTTCAAGTCATTGTCTTCTTCTGAGTTTGTGTGTTGAGCTTTCCTGTCACCATAATAGCTTTTTATGGTCAGGCTCTTTGTTGTTGTTTGCTTATTTTTCCAGCCTATTTCTTGACTTTGGACTTTATGTTAGAGTTGGGCTCTGCTCACCTCTGGGGATGGGGTAGGGGAATGTCTAACCCGAACTTCTGTCTTTTATGTGCTTCTGCTGCTGTTATAGCTCAGTGGTTACCTAATTTTTGGTGCTTCCAAAGTAGTGTAAACTGGGGAGAGGTTGGAGAGACTCTTCTGGTCTGTGCTGTGGTCCTTACATAAGTACGGTCCATGCTCCCTTGTGATTGTGACTACTCTTCTCCACCCTGGAACTGTGACCTAGCAATGGGTAATGGACAACAGAACTGCCCAATATCACCTGATCCTGCATCTGCTCCTGGTACAAGGGTTATCTGGGATCTCTTTCTGATGAGGTGTTCAGTCTCCTTAATGTTTCTGGCTCCTAGCTGCTCTGCCTGCTGCCAACCTACTACCCGTAGCTGGTGTCATTTCCACCACTACCACCACGCCATGCTCATGGCCAGCCCCAACCCCAGTGACTGAGGCTTCTCCTTCTGGCTTCCTAACCTTCCCTGTGCTAGAAAAATTACTGTGATTTTTTTTGTTGGCTTTCTCAGTTCGAAATTTGGTTTGACACACTTTTTCAAGTTGTTATAGAGGGAGATGTTGGGAGAGCTGAGCCAAAATGCTCACTTCACTCTGCCATCTTGGCTCTACCTCTCTCACTTCTGTCTTAGGGAGAAAGGGTCAAGGAACACTTGTCACTCCACCAGTGCTCTGGGTAGCTTCTATCCCTCCTGATATATGGTGCCAACTTGAGGAATTCCATTGATTCTCTGTCACTGCCTCTTAAAAGCTGCTCTCCTTAGATCTTGCCATGTGGGGAGGGTTGCCCCCTAAGCAGCCTTTTCCTTCCCCAAAGATTCAAGTTTGGTTTCTGGTATCCAAACAGTGGACTTGCTGTATCCTGTACAACTCCAGCACTCTCCAGGAATATGAGTCTGGAGGACCAAAGAGTGGGGACTCATTAAAGGCATGGGTTATCTGACTCTGTAGAAACTCTAGTGCAGTACCCTAGATATTGTAAGGTCTTTACATGTTGAAAAGAATAATTTGCTTTACTGAGAGTTCCTGTGACCTCCATTCCTGAATCATTTTTTTTAAAAAAAGGACAAGCATTTATTAAGCATGTATATATTAAGCATGTATATTTATTAAGCATGCATATATATATATATATGGTCAAGGCTAGGGGTTAAAGAGACTTTACATTTTACTCGTGTATTTTATTTAGAAAGTAGCTTCTATAGATCTTTTTATCTTAACATTGGATTTGTGATGTCTGCTTTGCTAGAGTCATAAGGTAAGCTAAACACCCAATTCAACACAGAAATGGAACTCAGTAATGGCAAAGCAAACAAATCGAAACATTGGGATTGTGCCTGGAATTCCAATCTATTAAAACATATTAGTTATATCAAGTCATTACTTAGAACACTGTTGACTGTCATGGAGCCCTCTTAATATCCAAGAATCCCAATTTATCTGGAAGGAGTTTGTTTATAACCTTACCAAGGGAACTTCTGGCAGATTTTAATCAATGACCTCAGATGACCTCAGCCTTGAATTCAGGTTACATATGAAGAACAGTGTGTTTAGGTAATGAAAGGTAGCTTGGCCTATTGGATAGAGTGTCAGACTCAGAGCCAGGGAGACCCACACTTGAAGCCTGCCTCAGATACTTACTTTCTGTGTGGTCTTGGGCAAGTCATTTACCAACTTCACCATCTTTTTTCACAGGATTGGCGTAAATGTCAAATGAGATTCTTTATTTCCATCCCCTTTTCTCTCTCTTTTTATATCTATATCTACTCCTATATCTTATCCATGTCTGTTCTTGTTGAGTTGTTTCAGTCATTGACTGAAACAACCCCATTTGGGGTTTTCTTGGCAGAGATACTGGAGTGGTTTGCCATTTTCCTTCTCCGGCTCATTTTAAAGATGAGGAAACTGAGGCAAACAGTGTTAAGTGACTTGCCCAGGATAACACAGCTAGGACATGTCTGAGACTGGATTTGAACTCACAAAGATGAGTCTTCCTGACTTCAGGCCCAGTGCTGTATCCATTGTACCACCTCACTGCCCATCTATATCTGTACTCATATCTATATCTACATCTGTATCTATATCTATCAAGCACTTTGCAAGCCATAAACATACTCCTTGAAGCTGAAGACCTCAGCTATGGACTAAGGATTCGCATTGCTACAATCTGGCAGAGTTTATAGGTTTAGGCTAACATCTCATCCCACATAGCACTGATTCACAATGAGGCATACACTCTTGGGCATGGCCAATATGGAGATTCGTTTTGCTCAGCTATAAGGGAGGCTTCTATTGTGAGGGTGGGGCACAATCGTTGGAAAGTAGTAGTGATACAAAAAAACCCCATAAAAGTGTGTTTAAAAATTAAATGTTAACATTTCAAAGCATAGAAAAAGTCAGAAATATTTGATATATTACTTTTCTTTTTAAATTTAATTTTATTAATTTCTTTTGCAATTAGCAAGCATTTATTTTCTTTCCATCCCACTATTTCCATTCCCTCCATTTGAACAACAAAAAAAAAAAAGAAAGAAAGAAGAAGAAAACCCTCATAATAAATATGCACAGTCAAGAGAAGAAAATCTCTCCTTGACTGCATCCAAAAATGCATGTTTCTTTCTTCATCCTTCATCAATCACTCTTCTATCAGGAGTGGGTAATATCCTTCACCTTCAGGCCACTTGAATCTTCATTTATAATTGTGCTGATCAAAGTTCTTTAGTCTTTCCAAGTTGTTTTTCTTTATAATGTTGTTGTAATTGTACAAATTGTTTTTCTGGTTCTCACTTCACTTTTTAAAAAATATAGATCTTCCTAGTTTCTTCTGAAACTGTTCGTTTTGTCATTTCTTATGGCTGAATAATATTGCATTACATTAATATACCATAATCCCTAGTCAATCCCCAATTGACTGGGACCTCCTTACTTACCTCCACAAAAAGAGCTGTTAAAATGTTTTTTATCATATGTGTCTTTTTTACTTTTTCTTTTATCTCTGGATTATAGACCTAATAGTTGCATTATTGTGTCAAAGTGAATGAACAGTTTATTGACTTTTGGGGCGCACTCCAGATTTCTTTGCAGAATGACTTAAATTAATTCATAGTTTCCCCAATAATGCACTCTTGACTATGCATATTTATTATGAGGGTTTTCTATCCCTCTCTCCTCCCTGAGATGGAAAGCAATCCAATACAGGTTATACTTGCATCTTTTTGAGCGTCTCATTAGTACAGTATTAAAGCTACAAATTAACTTTGGTAACATTGCTGTTTTTTGTTATTTTGGCACAGCCTAATAACAAGCACTGAATATACTTCCAGCTATTTATTCTGGCTGTTTTTTTCTGTAAGGAGCTCTTTTGTGTGTTTTTGCAGATTCAGCCTCAAGCATTTTATGCATTTTATAGTTATTTTGAATGGAATTTCCCTTTTTTATTATTCTCCTTTATTATTAATTTTTTTTGTGAGGCAGTGGGATTTAAATGACTTGCCCAAGGTCATACAGCTAATGAGTGTTATGTGTCTGAGGCCAGATTTGAACTCAAGTCGTCCTTACTCCATGACCGGTGTTCTATCCACTGCCCCATCTAGATGCACCTTTTTTATTATTCTCTCTTAAATTTGTTATTGGGGAAATAACTACTGCCTCCAAGCACTGTTCTGAAAATCAAATGAGAAAGTATTTGTAAGTCATTTTGCACAGTGCCTGGCCGGTAGTTGGTACTTAATCAATGTTTATGCCCTTCCCCTTGTTATTATATAGATATGCTGTTGAGTTATTTTGTAGCCTACAAATTTCCTAAAGGTATTAATTGTCTTGATTGGTATGTTTACTGATTCCCTAGAATTTTCTTTTTTCTTTTTCTTTTTGTTTTTTGGTGAGGCAGTCAGGGTCAAGTAACTTGCCCAGGGTCCCACAGCTAGTAAGTGTCAAGTGTCTGAGGTTAGATTTGAACTCAGGTCCTCCTGACTCCAGGGCTGGTGCTTTATCCACTGCCCCACCTAGCTGCCCTAGCCATCAGCAAATAGGGATGGTTTTATCTCCTCTTTACCTATCTTTAAGCTTTTAATTTCTTTCTCTTGTTTTATTTCTGCTTCCTAACCTTTCTAGAACTGTAGAAAATAAACGATGTTACTTTTCAATCAGTAATGGTCACTGATATGTATATAGACATCAGGCTGATATGTATATAGACTGAATCATCAGGAGTATAACAAAATGAACACATACTAAAGTTTTCATATGAATAGAATAGACCTTTTCCTTGATGATTCAGAAGACACTTTTGGATTTTACAAGGACTCAAGGCCATGACTATTAAATTTAATTAAATAAATCATAAATTTTAGAGTTAGAAGAGACCAAAATTTTAACTGGTATTAATGAATTCCTTAACAATAATAATGACCCATATTTCTATAAAGCTGTAAGGTTTATAAAACTCATCCCTTATCACTTCTGGGGCTTATGAGTTCAACAGACAGTCTGTCTCTACTCTGGACATGCCTCCTTCACGAACCCAAGGTCCTTTCATTTTGCTTTTTCCACAATTTTCTATACCACATGATTGCTTTCTTATTTGATTCAACTAGGTCTCTTCTAGCCAAAACCAAGGTCTCCCTGCCTATGACATCCGAAATGGGAAACCAGTCAAATGTGCCTGCATGAGAACATGCTCTTCTCTCTTTCAAATCTGCAACCACCCTCCCATTGACTAGAAGGGTTGATGTTCCGATTCCAAGGGCACAACTCTCTATGAGACCATCATTGACCTCTCCTTTTTTTCCCTACTATGTCCCAAAGATCACAGCACCTGGAAGTATGCTGGAGCCAGCCTGAACTGACTCATAGCTGATGGTTAAATTTTAATGTTTTTATACCTTGGAAATGGGCAAATGCCATAAAGCAGGGCTTCGTGTATTGTTTTTTGATTGTCTAGACTTAAGCAAGTATTGATGATGCAGATTAACTTAAAAGTATGTCCTGCCTACAGATTTGTTTTTTGTTTTTCTGAGAGCTGATTGTTAAACACTAACCAGCACACCCCTGACTATACTGGAGGTTCCTGCCACCTCCTTGGCTGTGTAGCCTTCTTCATTTTATCCATCCCTGGGCATTTCATTTTGGGCTTTCAGGCTTCCATATGTGGTCTAAATTGTGCCTTAATAAAGGCTTGTTGCTTTACATATCGCTGGCCTTCCTGATTTTTTTGTGAACCTAAGTCTCATAGATTGACTGACATGGCTACATCAGGGCACATGTTGTTGTCCCACTTTATAGATGAGGAAACTGAGGCTCAGAGAAATGATATAGCAGACTCAGATTTTCCAGTTTTCAATTGCATACTTTTTGCAGAACACACTAACTAGGCTGCCTCCGTTTTGAAGACTAAGTCTTAGAGAAATGAGGTGATTTACAGAACCCCACTCTGCCCAGCCCTGGAAGGCTGGATTTGGTGGTGAACGTACCTTTGGTGACTGTGATTTTCCAGGCGGCGCTGTCTTGAAGGTGTCGGAGACGCCGGGCCTCAGCCTGCAGAGCCTGGTCCTCCTCGTAGTCTTCCATCTGGAGCTGCCTGCGGATGTTAGTACACTTGGCAGCTATTTTTGAGGAATTCGTCATCTTCTCATAGACTCTCATGGTTTTCTTTGCCTCCCTTTCCTGGAGGGAACAGGTTGGTTAGAGTAGATGCCCCATCTGCCCTTCTCCGCTCTCCGCCCTCACCTCCAATCATCCAAAGACGAGCTCAACATGGATGAGGCAGGGCTGCAGGCTACAGGGTGCCAGCCCTCAGCCTTGGACCATGGGGTCACGAGTATTCCCTTCTGAATTGTTGGCTACTTTGTGACTACTAGGTATTGGATGGAGCATGTGGTGGTGGAACTGGGTGTGTGTGTGTGTGTGTGTGTGTGTGTGTGTGTGTGTGTGTGTGTGTGTGTAAGTGTGAACATGACAGGCAGAAACACAAAAACACATACATTGAGGCATAGAGGAAAGACCTATGAAGAGAAACAGGGACAGAGACAAAACAAAATTAAATATGGAGACAGAGGGAAGAGAGCAACTATGGGTTATGGATCATATTTAATGACTGGCTAATGTCTGCTATTACCTAAAGGGCTTAAATGTTAACCAAAGAACCCAAAAATGTGCACTTGGGAAGGAAATGTAGGTGTTTTCCTTGACTATACCTCACTAGTGTGATCTGATAAACCAATCCAAAAAAATTTCTGTCTTTACTGAACCATCCTGGGGTGAGCAGCCCTGTGCTCAGGTTTTCCGTCACACAGGAGGAGGAGTAGCCACAGTCTCTGCCCTTGGGGAGCTTAGTTTATCTGGGGGCTCACTTACATGAAAAAACAGCAAATCCCACATTTAATGTTGAAAGCCACACTAAGACTTTGGAGACATATATTTATAGAGAAATGCAGGTTGGCTGGAACTAACTCCAGTATCTGCAGCTAGCCTAGACTTTCTCCCTTCTGACTTTTAGCACGATGGTGAAATGATATCCATGAATTCAGACTGGAAGAGTTGGCTACAGGTTGGGGTAATGTGGATAGGCTTCATGGAAGAAGTAGCCCTGGAGTTGGGCCTGGAAGGATGGGTTGGGATTTGCCAAAAGACAGGGGAGGGCATCCTATAGGTGGAACATAGCATATGCAAATGTAGTTAGACAGGAATGAGTATGGTATATTTGTGAGATGGAGAGTAAACCTTAAGGGTGATACTTCATGAAGGGGAACCAGAGGAGATAAAATTGAATAGGATGGGTAGAGGCAGGTTCTGGAGGGCCCAAAATAGGAATTTGGATTTGATATCATAGGCATTGAGGAACCATCAAAAGTTCTTGAGAAGGGGAATGACATGATAAAAGCTATGCCTTGGTAAGATTACTATGGTAGCATGTGAAAGATGGACCAGTGTTAGCTGGAGGCAGGGAATTAAGCTAATCAATCATACAGGTCTTCAGCAATACATGTCCACGATTATTCAAGCTATCCATGGGAACCATTATCACACTATGGAGAAACAGAGAAAGACAGGCTTGATCCATACATTCTAGTGGGTTGTGGAAAACAGGAATAATCACAAGGTGTTTTTGTTTGTTTGTTTTGTGGTCAGATAGAGAATCTCCCCAGCCCAGGCCCATCACTTACCAATCGATGCTTTTCTTTCTGTCTGTCTCGAAGCAAGAAGAAGTCTGTGTCTGGGGACATGTGGAAAGGATTCTCCCCCTCATCTGTGTTAAAAAATAAAAGTAGGGGGGAAAAACCCCAATCCCTTGCTGCCTACAAATATTAAAGCTCTTACCTCAAAGACCAGCATTAAACAAGTATTATTACCTGAGGCATCCTCTTTGTCTGTGGACTGAGCTGGACATTTGATGGCCGTAGGTAAATGACTGCTGTAGACAGACTCATGTGGTTCTTTCACAGAGACAAAGATGGAACATTATGACATATCTAGCATCACTAGTTTTTTTTTAATATATGACATTGTATTTTTCCCCAATTCCATATTAAAACCATTTACTAACATTTTAAAAAGTTTTGAGTTCCAAATTCTATCCCTTCCCCTCCCCTTCCTGGCCCTTCCCTCTCTCTGAGATGGTAAGCAATCCGATCTAGTTGATACATAGCATCGCTATATGTGAAGTGTTGTCCCTTATTTGAATCCATTCTTTTCCTCAATCTTTAGCAACTGGTCTGTGAGGTAGGCTGGTCAAAAGCCATTCTCCCTTTCTGCAGTGCAATCCCATGGGCTCAATAGGATGAGAATTGTTAAACTCACTCTACAGATGGGAGAATTGAAGCTCAGAGACCGATTTCTGGGGTCCTTGAAAACCCTCTTCTTATCTAGTTGACTTTTTGGCCATGGTCTAGAGCTCCTTGTTTCTAGCCTCCAGGACAATTTCTTTGTGAACCCTCTGGGCCCAGCTGTGAAGTTCAGCACTAGAATGACTGACCACTAGTTGCTACTATAAATTCTAAGTTAAAAATATTATTGGAGGAATTGAATGCTTAAATAACTGCTTGAAGTCCTACCGTCATTGCTCAGCGTCTTCTGGGTTGTAGATGGCAACCTGGACATTTTGAAGTAATGAGATTGCTAACAACTCTTCCCCCAAGAGATCATCTAATGATGTTATCAGTCCTTCTATGGATTGGATTCCAGTATGAAATTCCAGCTGCTGAAGACCCTGGAGAAAGAAAAGACACTCCAGGGATCAGGGGGTATTGGCAGAGACGAGGGTACTCCTTACCTCCACTCAGTATGGTGAAATGGAAAAGACATTTGACTGGAACTCCAAGGCTCTGGGCTCACTTCCCAGATGAGCCATTTATTATTATTTTTTTGTGACCTCAAGAAAGTCACTTCCTCTCTCGAGGACTCTATTTTGTCCTCTATAAAATCACAGAGTTGGACCAAATGGTGTCTAAGGTAGCTTCCAGTTCTGAATCCCCACTTGAATCCAAGTTTGGCCAAAACATGAAGAGAATGCTTAGAAGTCTAGCCACGTTAAATGGTGTGATGATTAGAAGGGAAGAATGCTATTGGTATTAGTATTAGTCCATCAACAAAATTTATTAAATACCTATTGATATTAAATAATTGTATTTATTTACAATTTAATTATTAATTTCATTAAATTATGCTCATTATTAAATTATAATTTATTAAAAGGATTGATATTGAATGACTATAATTTATTCATTATATTACTAAATTATTGTAATTATTATATATATAACCATTATTTATGAAATATCTATTAATTAAACATGTCAGGCACTATGTACCTACCTCATAGGGTTATTGTGAGGATTGAATGAGAATCTATGTCAAGGGCTTTGAGAATTTTAAAATGCTACATAAATGCCAGGAATTATTACAGTTCATAGCAGTTAGATGTAGAAAGGATTCCTTAGAAGTTATCTACTCCAGGGGACAGGTAGGTGGCACAATGGATAGAGCACTGGCCCTGGAGTCAGGAGGACCTGAGTTCAAATGTGGTCTCAGACCAGACACTTGATACTTACTAGCTGTGTGATCCTGGGCAAGTCACTTAACCCTAAATGCCTCAACAACAACAAAAAAAAGTGCCATACTTCAACCATCATTCTGACCCACCAAAAAAACAAAAAAAAGTTATCTACCCCATCCCCTCTTCATTTTACAAATGAGGAAACAGAGGCCCATAGAACTTAAGAGATTTGGTCAAGGCCTCTTGAACAGCAGAATTGGAGTAATTATAACAAATCACATTTCTATTATCACTTTTAGATTTACAAAATCTTCACTATATAACTCTGTAAGTTAGGAAGCATAAGTATTATTATCTGACCTCTCCCCTGTTTTACAGATGAAAAAATTGATCCTTAGTGACTTGCCCAAGGCTCACACAGCTTCTGGTACTTACTCAGCTGGATGACCCTGATCAAGTCACTTAAATCTCTCTCATCCTATTTCCTTTGTCAAATGTAGGGGCTGGACGTTTAGGCTTCTTCAGCCCTAAATCTATGAGCCTTTGGAAGAGACCGTCCTTGGACTTAGCCGTAGAAGGAAGAAACGGAATACTTCAAAGGTAAGGGTTATGGAGCTGGAGACAAAGGGTAGAGAGGTTCCAATCTCTGCCACGGTTGTTCTACCTCTGGTCACTTACTGAACTTCACCTGGCCTCAGTTCCTCATCTGTAAAATGAAAGGCTTGGACTAGATGTCATCATCTAATTAAGAGGTCATTATATTCCAACTTGAGCATCAAGTCAAAATAAGTCAAGACGGGTTGAATTGAATTGAATAAGCATCTGGCTGGAGATACTTGGAAATGGCGGTGATCATGCGGGGCAGTCTCTGCTATGCGCTAAAAGACAGCGGAGCACAGTATGCCATGGAGGGCGGAGGAGGGCTGCTGCCCAGCAAAGGAAACGGTGAGGCTCCAAGTGCTGCCTGATGGAATCCTTGCCTTCTCAAAATCCGAGATAGGCCTGCGGTTGGGAAACCTGCAGTTTAACTGGACAGTCTTCCTCCCCTCTTCTGCCCTCTCCCGCCAAATCCAAACAAAGACCCCACTCCCAAAGGACCTGCATTACATCTAAGCCCACCCCAGCTTTTGACTACTTTGTGCAATCACTGCTGTGTTCTCCTCCCAGGAGTTTCTATAGAGAATATATATCGCCAGAAACGAAAAGGACCTTTAGTTGTCTTTTCAACAGAAATCCACGGTGGTTTGGGAAGGGTGGTAGTGGTGGTGGTGGAGGGTGGGACAGAGTAGGAAGCTAGAGTTCAAGAAAGGCGCCGATTTGTCAAAAGTCACACAGCCCTGGACTGAGACAAAGACAATATGGAACTCAGGTCCACTTTTTCTTGGATTCCCAGCCCAGCGCTCTCTCCAAATAGACCGCTGCTTCTCTCTTCCCTGCCTTTGGAATTTTTTTTTCCTGAAAGAAATAGAGGATGTCTGGCCGCTTCCCACGCCCGGACTCACCCACCAGCTCCGGGGTACAGTGACTCCCCTTGCACAGCGTCAACTATTTGGGATTTGCAGAAGCAGCTGCTGCAAGAAAGGCAAAGAGAGCGCTCACTCGGCACTCTTTAAAACAAAGTGAACTTGGAGGAGGCCGTATTCTTTGACTTTGTTTACGTTGCCAGGGCAACCATTCTCCCGTCTCTCCTCGGAGACGGGTGGTCACAAAGCCCTCGGAACCGCAAGTGGTGATGAAAGCCTGTGCCGAGGGAAGGGTCGATTTTACTTGTCCTGTTGTAGGCGGGGTCTGGGCTGAACCTGGGGAGAAGGAAGCCGAGAGGGAAGTGGATTAAAATTAAGTTTCCTTTTCCGAATGGAAGAGACTTCGTGACTCCTCTAAACAAACCCGCCTCCTTTTACAAAAGAGGAAACTGAGGCTCAGAAAGAGGAAAGGATTTGACCAAAGGATGCTGGGAATCGTAAAAAGTGCTTTGGACCTTGAGTCAGAGGACTCACATTGGAATTCTGCTTCGGCGGCTTGGTGGGAGGTTGTACGACAGCGAGGGTTGGTATCCTTTTTGAGTGTCGTAGACCCCTTTGGCAATCTGGTGAAGCCTCCAGGCCCCCTTCTCAGAAAGTTGTTTTTGAACGAATAAAACATCGTTGAAAGACTCTGCTATCCCAGAGATTGTCTTTTGCTCTGAGTACAGCTCCTGGCACATAGTGTAGGGGCTTTAGGAAACCAAAGGTTAGTGAGAATCAAAATGAGGAAACTGAGGCCAGGTGAGGTTAGGTAAGGGTGATTTTTCCCCCATTCCCCACAGAGGTCTCCAGGTGAAGAAGCCCTGGAGCAGATGATGTGCAGGGTCCCTTCCCAGCTTAAGATCCACTGATAAATTTCACAAAGCAGCATGCAGCACAATAACCCATAGACTAGTCATTAAAAAGGTGTCATTAACACCTTTTTACTTATGGGGAAACTGAGGCCAAAAGCAGTTCAGTGACTTGCCCAAGGTGGTTAAGTGGCAGAACCAGTTTTAGAATCCAGGCCGTTTGAGTCCCAATGGAATTACAGCAATACTGGGGGTCCCTGATGTCACTTGTTTGGGTACCTCCTCTAACTATACAGATCACAACTTCCTCACACTGGGTCTGGAGTCAGGAAGACCTGATATCAAATTTAGCTTCATCCTTAACCTCTGTCTGCCTCAGTTTGCTGGGCTGTAAAGCGGGGATAATAATGGCACCTACCCCCTAGCATTGTGAGAATCTAGTGAGATGATAATTGTAAAGTGCTTAGCATAGTGCCTGGCACATATTACATTCTATATAAATCTTATTTCTCCTCTTCCTCCTCCTACTCCTCCTTCTTGTCTCAGTCAAATCCAGCCTCATACACTAGCTGTGTGACCCTGGAAAGGTCACTTAACTGCTGCCTGCCTCAGTTTCTTCAACTGTAAAATAGGGATAATAACAGCACCTACCTCCCAAGGTTGTTGTGAGGATCAAAGGAGATGTTTGTAAGTGCTCTTAGCACAGTACCTGGCATATAGTAAGTGCTTAATAAATGCTTATTCTCTTCCCTTTCCCAAGGTCTCATTCCTTGTCACATCTTGAAAACTTCTTTACCTCATGGCCAGCCTTCTGGGGAGGAGAACTCTAACAATGTTTTCCACAGCTATGATGCTTTGCTTCATATCTGTCATACCAACCACTTTGTTTGATCTTCACAATAGATAGCAATGTGAGGTACACAGGGGTTGGAAAACATATGATTTAATTGGACAGTCTTCCTCTCGTCTTCTGCTGTCCCCTGCCAAGTCCAAACAAAGAACCAAATCCCAGGGATTGTAATTGTCATTTTACAATGAGCAAATTGAATCCCAGAAAGATGGTGCAAGGAATTGGACTGGGAGACCTAGCCCCAGGTCTGCTGCTAATTTGCCGTGGAATCTTGAACAAGTCATTTTTTGGACCTCAGTTTCCTCATCTGTCAAATGAAGGGTTGGAGGAAATTACCTCCAATGTCTTTTCCAGTTTTATGTTTCTATTTAAGTGCCTGATACATGTGGGCTAGCCTTACAGGTAGACAATCGGGAACCGCTTGTATGCTGTGATGTGTGTGGCATTTAGAAGGTCCTCTTCCTGACCTCAAATATCTCTCCCACTGCCTGTTGTTATGCTCAGAATCCCCCCCGCCCAAGTTTCATTCCCTGTATAGAATGTCCCAAAACTCTTATTGCGATTTCAAACTTTAATAACATGCTACAAGCCTACAAAAAGCATCATTTGAAAGTTTCACTATTTAAATTTCTTTTACATTTACTTAATTCTGTCCATTTTGAATAACCAATTTTTAATTTTGACAAGGCAGAACATTGTCATTATGCATTGTATGTGAGACAGTTTCTGCATGACACTTTCTTAGATTGGTGGATTAGAAGAAAAGTCCTCTAAGATTGTCCATCAAGGTCACCTGATTACCTCCATTAGACTTTTTCCTGTGGGATCACATCAAAACTGTCATGTATGCATCACTCTTTGGATATACAAATATAATTGAGTCACTGAGCAGCAGCTGACGAAAGTTTTTACTAAGTTCAGAAATCAACTAGTGCTGTGTCCAGCACAAGGCGGTGGTGGTGATGCATTTTAAGAAGAAATCTAGGGCAGCGAGGTGGCACAGTAGATAGAACTCTGGCCTTGGAGTCAGGAGGACTTGGGTTCAAATCTGGTCTCAGACACTTGACACTTACAAGTCACTTAACCCTGATTGCCTCACCCTCCCCAAAATATATATATTATAAAGAAATCTATGGATACTTAAAGTTTCAGATAATCTTTCAACTGTTGTTTTTTGTAGGTTTGTAGCATTTATACTTCTGAGGTTATTAAAGTTTAAAATCTCACTAAAAGACAGTTGGTTTACATGTGTAATTAAGCCTTTTCTTCTACATGAAAATACCCTTGTGAAAATACCCCTGGAACCAGGGAACATACTGGCATCAGCTTAGATAGAAGTGGCTCTATCTATAGGAGAAGCTGGATGAAAGGAAAGTGGGTTCCAGGCCTGAAGTGGGAGAGGACATAGGGAACCAGCCAGTATGGACACTCAGGAGGACACTTTGGAAGACCACCTAAAGGCAGCCATTTTTACCTCTGTGTGAAGTAGAAAACTACGAGAAGTGGTGAAGAGGGAAATAAGTTTGCAGAAAGCTTGGCATGATACTTAAGCCAGACCATTTAAAGGCGAAACTAGAAGGAAGACAACAGATGGAAAATAGAAGAAATCTGTCGGTATTTCTAGAATAAACTACGTTCCTCATGGATGCCAGAGAATCCACCTGATCTGGACTCCAACACTCCGGTATTTGCTTCTGGCTTGTTAATCCTTGACCTCCTGCAAGGAGAAGGAGAGCAGGAACTAAGGAGATGTAACATTTCCTGGGTAGTGTCCTGAGATGCTGCATTCTGTGCTATATGTGCAGGAGATGTGGCTTCTGACTGTCTGAGAGTCTTCCGCGGCCCATGATGTTGACAGTGACCTGGGACAGAGGAGGTGGCACTTACTTCAGAGAAAGAGTTAAAAGAGATAAGTCAGAGAGATGAGGTGTGAACTTTTGAATGGCCACATGTATGGGAAGTTGTCCCCATCCCCACTTCCATCCCCCTCCCCCACCATATCACATCTCTTGACTTCCAGTGCATAGAACCCTACCAGCTATTAAGACCAGACTCCTCTTGGTGAGATCATTCCCTCTTCTCTTGGTTGGACTGAAGTCTTCGTCTAGCTCTCAGGACCTCTTTTACTCTTGTGTGTCTTTGGTCTATTCTAATCTGCATGACTTCTCTTATAACTATTTATTTTGATAAAGAGATGTACTAGCTATTCATAATGATTTTTTGTGCCTTTGGTGGAAGCTCATGATAGAAAGACACCACCCTCCCCTTAAGAGTGATCAGGGAAATGGTGTTGATCCTGTCCCCTCTCCCCCAAGTTTGTATTATAAGACTACAAATATTTTAGATGAAATGTATAGGTAGAATTCTATTCCACTGCCCTTTTTTGGAATTGGGCAAGGGAAGAGGCCTTGACCCCTCAGCCATGGGCTTCCTCTTGCTCCCCACAAAGGGTAGAGGTCCATCTCTCTTGGAGATGAGTGGGCCAGATCCAAGATCAGATATCCATTTATTCCACACACAAGACAAGTTATTATTATATTGACACAGCCCACCCACTCACATAGCTTACAGAAACATGTAAAGGATCTTGGTGTAATGGAAGGAGCATTGGATTTGATGTCAAAAGATTTGGGTTCAAATCCCAGCTCTGATACTTACTGATGGGCAAATCACCTCACTTCTCTTTGCTTCAGCGTCCTCAATTATAAAACAAGGATTTTTGGCCCAATGATCCCTAAGGTTCCCTTGAACCCCAATACTCCTTTAAAATTAAAAAAAAGTTATTTTAAACTTTTTTTTCTTTTTAAATTTTGAGTTCAGATTCTCTTTCTCTTCAACCCTCCCCCACCTACAGAGAAGGCAAAAAATATGTCAATTATGCACGTAAAATCATGCAAAACACATGCTTCCATATTAGTCATACCGCAAAATGAAGAAAAAAAGAAAGAAAGCAGGAAAATTATACTTCAGTTTGTATTCAGTGTTCCTCAGTTTTCTGTCTAAAGGTGGATGTCATTTTTCGTCATAAGTCCTTTGCAATTGTCTTAGGTCATTGTATTGATCAGAGTAATCAAGTCTTTCACAATTGATCATCATTACAACATTGCTGTACCTGGGCACAATGATCTCCTGGTGCTTCTCACTTCCCCTTGTATCAGTTCATATAGGTCTTGTCATGTTTTTCTGAAATCATCTCCCCCTGTCATTTCTCACAGTACAATAGTATTCCATCACAATCATATACCACAACTTGTTCAGCCATTCCCCTATTGATAGGCATCGTTTCAATTTCTAATTCTTAGCCACTACAAAAATAGCTGCTATAAAATTTTTATACATAGAGGACCTTTTCCTTTTTCTTTGCTCTCTTTGGTTCCAGATTGTTCTCCAGAATGGTTGGATCAGTTCACCACTTTATCAATAGTTTATTAATGCACCTATTTTCCCTCATCCCCTTTAGCATTTTCATTTCTG